ACATATATCACCTGAGGATTTATCAGCAATCATGAAAAAAGTTCAAATTAAAATGGGTGGTAAATTACCAGATGATTTTTTTGTCTGGCTCGAAGTTTTAACAGGTAATCGAATTAGTATTTATCATATATACATATATTTGCATTTTACAAAAGGTGGAGAAGCACAATATATTTGGACAGGACCTTCATGGTATGGTACTATGTTTACAAATATTCTCAAACAAGATCTCATTTTAGATTCAGAAGTCGATAAGATCAAAGTAAAATTTTTCGAAGTATTTTCCTAATGTTTTTTTAGTTTTTATTTACTATGCTAATATAGATGTGGGATGGTCTTTATCCAAAAGAACCATTTCATAATCCAACTATACCACGTCATCGTGTAGTTATTCAAAATGATGATCATGATCAACAAAATCCAGGTTCAAGTAGTCGTGATATGGATACTTTTGGTTGTGTTCTTGTTAAAAATTGTTCTGTATCAGTTCATCGCAATTTTGAAATTCGTCTTTTTACAAATCCAAATGGTGTAACTGACAATGATAATGATTGGCCTATTCGATTTCTTCTTTCATCTTATTATCATACGTATGGTGATCTTGGTATTCCTGATGGAAAATCATCATGCGATCTATGCACAGTAATGTGTGAAACATGTCGTAAATCAGTACCTTACATTAAAGCACATGAACCTATGGCATGTTCTTATGTTGGCAATGGATATACACGTACACATCGTGATATACCTGTAATCAATGCAATGCGTGCATGGATGAAATTAACACCAATATCAGGAGCATCTTTGGGTATTGGACACTGTACTTAAAAACAAATAATATCGCTTATTGTTTTGCGAGGTTCTTTTCCTCAGTTTAATAAAATTTCGATTAGTAACATCCGGTGTTTAAGTTTTTCAATCGTACAAACTAATATCTAATCAATTGAACCTATATTATCTTTTATAATTCACAAAGGGATGTCACACATCAAAGAATACAGAATGGACAATAAGTGTTCGATCAGAGTGTGAGTGTCAGTGTGATTGTACAGTTGTTAGTGTCGAACAATCAGGAGATCCTAGATACCAACATCCAAAACTCACCCTAAAAGCTCGATCAGGAACTGTCTTGGAGTCTATGATATACAATCGGACTTTATGAATCTCACATACACGTCATGTGTATATGAGTTTGCACTATGCATGCATGCCCCCGTCCCCCCTTCCGCACTGCCGTGGCTCTACGAGAGTGGTTCCTGGTTGTGCATGGGATCGAATAGGAATGAAATTCATTCATTTTTTTGCATGGACATTCTTTTTCATTTATTGCGATTTATTTGATAGAGAGAGAAAAACGCTAGCGGTCGCAATGAGTGTTTTCGATAGAAAACCGTTGAACTCGGTATTTTCGATAATCGGCACCATAGAGATTACCATTTTGATCGAAGGACACACCATTGAATTGATACAACTGATTTGCTCCTTCTCCAACACCAATTCCACCCGCGATGACAATACCTATTTTTGCCCCTTTAGGTCAACGCATCATTCGATCATTACTCGAGTCTGTCATATAGAGGGTACCGTACGGTTCGACGAATAGTCCATTAGGATAATGCAATTGTGTCAGAGCATTCTCTTTACCTTGATTACCAGCAACCATCACCACTTCTGTTGCACCTTTGTCCTATTTCATCACATGATGGTTGTAGTAGTCCGACACGTAGACAACCTGTTGTCGATAGCAAAGAGGAAGGTTGGAAAACTGAGTTGATAGAGACCATCATCTGCACCATGGCCACCAGGGGTGTAAGTGTGGGTGCATTGGTGTAGGTGTAAGTCCTTTGCTCTTCTAGACTATCACTCACACGCGCACCCACACGTCCTATCGAAAGACAAATATTCTTATTTGAATCCCATAAAACATTTTGTTCTCTTTGAGCTACTGTTGCCAGATGCTGTACTTAATTTTACATTGTAGTTAGTAAAAAATTGACTCATCTTGAGATCAGACGTTTAGATAATGCAAAAGGTAATTTTCGTCACAGAATTGAAAAACCAGATCTTCAGCGATAACATTAATAAATTTGACTTTACAGAGCCTGTTTAGTCCTTTGACAAATAATTCAGAATTATACTAACCATTCAATCATTGTGTTTTATGCTGTTTTCGACTTTTAAGTCAGGTGTCGATGATGAAAGAATATCTCAGACTGGTCTCATATGTGAACAAAACCCATTTAGCAGAAATTCTTTGGAAATAGAATGTAAAACACGATGATATCGCTTTAATTGTATAATAGAACTTTTGCCACATTGATCATGATACATGATAAGCTCAAAAATGTATCATACCGAAGTTTCTATTATGAACTGTGAGGCCAAGTTGAAGAAGGATTACTTTTCTTGTTAGATTTCCATTATTTTCATGTAATTATTCATGAAAAATCATAGATGACGTTCAAGAAGTGATTATGGATGTTCGATGAATGAAAAACTTTCAATGCTGTCGTCATATACAAATTAATTGACGTGATACAGAAAAAAATGTTGCTTATTCTGCATCTCTCACGTAGTCATATATCAATGAAGGAAGCACCGTGAAGTTTTTAGCAGGGATCTGATTCACCTGTAGTATTGAAACCTATGAGTAATCACAAATCTCCAAATAGACCAGACTTAGTCATGAAAAAATCAACTCACAACCTGTTTCACTGTTAGTCAACTTTGTTTTTCAAAAATATCTGTTTAGTCTCAATTTTCGCGTTATGAGGTTTTGTATCATACACATTCTCTGCACAAACTCCTTTTTTCTATTTCAACAGTAATTTACAAATGTATTTTAGAAACGTGCTTAAACTTCAAATTCAGGAACAATGTGTACACAAATTCGTTGTATAACTGTTTTTTAGGAAATAGTGCAAGCCATTGATCTCATAAATGCTTCTTCACGCTGTCCTTCTGGACTAAATCGAAACGCAAGCCGCTGCATTGGTTCATAGTAATTTCTACGCATCCAAACCTGCTCGTAAGCCATAATTTTTTTCACTTGTCGTGATTGACCACCAATAATAATGGATTGAACAACCATTATTTGACGTCTGACTTGACCTATTTCGTAAAATGCATTATTTGTATCGGGACACAGGTCTGGTATATTGAAAAAGACCTTGTCTTCTAACTCATTTGGTGAAAGTGTCAAAGCCAGTAAGAAAATGAATCGATCTTCTTCGTCTGACATATTTCTCCAATTTGAATAATTCCGATATCGACGAATATTATTATCATCATATTCAATAACAGTACATACACAATCCAAATAGTACATGACTTTGGCAATATCAGCATCTGGTACATGAGCTGTTGTGCCGAATCTTTGGAACTCAAGTTCAGTACTTCCAAAAACTGCCATACTACTTAAATGAAGCGAACGATTAAAATTTATCAAATTTTATTAAAGAAACCTTCTCTCTTCAAAGTGAACTACATAATTGACTAATGTATGTATATATAGTTCTTCTTACTTCCGTCGACAAACAGAGAAAAAAGAAAACTGAAGTGGTAATAAATTAGTTAATTGCTGTTGAAGATAATAAAATGTGCAAGCATAATGTCTTTCTTTAAAAAATATTCTTTACTTGGAAAAAACCCTGCATAATAAAAAAAACTTCATCTTTCATTGAAAGTACTCTCAAAAGTTAAACTGAAATTCTTTGACTCCGATAAATATGCCTTGATGTCTTTTCCTATGACTTTGAATGCAAATATCACTTCCTATCAAACATGTCAATATGTGTCTTACAGATACATTCGCTGGTAAGGGTGTATGTGTATTGGTAAATGAATATATGCTTGAACTTCTTCTACTTACACAAAAGCACACTCCAACTTGAGGTACATTTAGTAAGATGTAGGACTCTTTCAATATGTTCATGAAATCGATCCAACAATAGAGCATACAAGGAGTTCTTTTCATGTGCTGTCTTGTATTTAACATTGATTCATTGACAAATGAATAACGAATGTGAAGAGTTAAAATGAATCTGGCAGCCGATATAGTTTTACTTATCCCGCCTAATATCAAACAGAATCTGTGAAGAAGAAAAAAATATCATGCATATCGGACGATCTACTTCAGAAATGCGATCCACATGATATGGCAGTGAAACATTATGAAAATATAGTTTGAATATCACTCACTCGTTACCATTGGGCACATCAAATAAAAACACATTAAATACAAAGCCTTAAGCAGAATCCAGTTTGTGACTGTTATTTTTACATTCTTTTACGTGTATTCAATTGTTTTTTTCGCTCTATCGACGTATGTAAGTTCATTATCTTGGCTACCATGAAAACTCTTCGAGTACTAACAAACGAATCTATGTTCATGTATTCAATTACGAAAGTACCAGTGAAAATATAATCAATTTTTACATTCGAAGATGGCAAATAAGTGACTGATCAATGAATACCTTTTGCTACTATGAAGACCTGATATGTGGATGGGTCGATGACAAATACATCGAAATTATAAACAACAGACAGGAAAAGATGTTAGAACAGATCAAAAAATGATGGTTGAAGAAAAAGAAGACTTAGTTAGTCGGATTCATAGAAGAGATCATTAGTGAATCGAATCCGAATGGAAACTTTCTAATTTGTTTGGGTCTCTAGTCTTTGTATTAGCGAAGGAAGCATCGTGTAGTTTTTAGCGGGCACTTAGTTTCTCTGTAGTTTTGAGAAATGCGAGAAACTATAACGCTCCAAATGAACGAGCCTATGTCGTAAAAAAATCAACTCGCAACTTATTTCATTGTAAGCCGACTTAATATATGATTTGTATGTCAATTTTCGCTTGAGGAGATAATATATCATATCAATGCTTCATCGAAGCTCGCCTTTTATTTCGACAGTAATTGAAAATTACGTTTCGAAAATAAAGAAAACTTGAAGTTCAAAAAACTCGTCCCCCAGAAACATATTGCACAGCTGTTGTCTTAGGAAATAGTGCAAGCCGCTGATCTCATAAGTGCTTCTTGACGCTGTCCTGCTGGACTAAATCGAAACGCAAGTCGCTGCATTGGTTCATAGTAATTCGCACGCATCCAAACTTGCTTATAAGCCATAATTTTTTTCACTTGTCGTGATTGACCACCAATAATAATGGATTGAACAACCATTATTTGACGTCTGACTTGACCTATTTCATAAAACTGATTACTACTATCGGGGCAGAGTGCTGGCGCATTGAAAAAGACCTTGTCTTCTAACTCATCTGGTGAAAGTGCCAAAGCTAGTAAGAAAATGAATCGATCTTCTTCATCCGACATATTTCTCCAATTTGAATAATTCCGATATCGACGAATATTATTATCATTATATTCAATAACAGTACATACACAATCCAAATAGTACATGACTTTAGCAATATCAGCATCTGGTATCTGAGCTGTTGTGCCGAATCTTTGGAACTCAAATTCAGTACTTCCAAAAGCTGCCATACTACTTAGATGAGGTGTCTAATGAAAATCTACCAAATATTATTACAAAAGCCTTCTTTCTCCAGGGTCTTTTACATGATTTGATAATATATATATATATATCATTCTTTTTACTTCCGTCGTCAAACAGAAAGAGAAAAGAACTGAGATGTTGCTATGCTAGTCACCTTGCATTGAAGATAATAAAATATTCAGACATAAAGTCAATGTTGGATGGACAAATTTTACTTGGAAAAAACTTGACACGATAAAAAACTTTGTCTATTATTGACAGTACTTGAGAAAGTAACGTGTAATTCTTTTACTCTGACAAATATGCTTCTACGTCTGTTTTTTAGTTTTTTCTTGTGACTTCAAATGCGAATAATTCTCTTATCAATAATATCAGTGTGTCACACACATACGAGTTTCTTGGTAGAAATGTGTTGATGAGAGTAGTTATTTTAGTCACTCACAAACATGCACATCTACAGGCAATATTTCGCATCCACACATCCAACTTCGGTAGAGATGTTCGTATGACTTCGAAAATGTTTTCACTGACACAAAGCAAATAGAAGGCTCACTACCCAGAATAGAGTATGTTCTACAGCTAATCCAAAATGATCGTAGTTAGCTATGTGTAGAAATGAAAATCAGAAACTTAATTTGTTTCAGATACTTGTAAAAAGATTCCGCTGTGTCTTATTGATCCCTTGTTCATCCCAGAGATGAATTTAGAAAATTTTCGTTTCGTAGAAGATTTAGTCCAACAAAAGTAGAATTTCATCTTCCTGTTATGAGAGAGAGAGAGAGAGAGTAGAACATTTCGAATTCTATGAAATTTGTGGGACGATATTTTTCTTTAGAGGAAGATCATTATTATTCTTGAGGCAAACATTGGAAGATTTTCACCGCTCACTTTGTCAATCTTTCCAACTGTGAGAAATTCGTTGGCTTTCTTACTTTTGCTTCTCTCGTGTCAAATCTTCTCGAAGCCAAAATTTATTTTGAACGTTCGACAGACGAACAATAAAGAAGTGCCATTCGTATACGGAAAGTGTAACAAATATCAGTAATAAAATTTCTGTCCATAAATTACCAAAGTGTGATTAATCAAGACTACTTTGTCACTGCTCCTCTGTCCAACAATGACGCAAATTTTTGAGAGTGTGGGTGTGGGTGTGGAATATGGGGTATGTGTGTGAATGTGGAGTGCGGGTGTGGGGTGTGAATGTGGGATGTGGGTTGGTGTGTGGGTGTGGGTGGGGTGTAGGTGTGGGTGGGGTGTAGGTGTGGGTATGGGTGTATGGGTCCTTTCCTCTCTCACACCTACCCACACCCATACCCACCTATCCATACCCATCTACCCACATCCATCCACCCATACCCACCTACCCACACCCACAACCATCACCAATTGAATTAGCTATAATCGATCAAAATTTACCAGTTGCTGTGGCTATACAGAATAATGAAGTAAATAAATCGATCCACTTGAATTGTGAACATTCTATTACTGTTAAAAGGCTCTATGAGATTGAGGGTGTGAGTGTTGTTTGAACAATAAATATTACTGTTTAATTATGGATGGCCCGGAATTAACCGATGGCACTATTCCTTTAAAAGATATTACTGATGAAAATAAGACTGAAATTAGTTTTCAATTGGTATCGACAGCATCTCTGTATTGCTTGGTCATGTATTGCAATCAAATTATTAAATTGTCATGCTGTCAAGACACACCGATAATGACCATAATTAAAGAAGTACTACAGATATTAAATAAGTCAGAAGATAATAGGAACATGTATGAGTTAATAGCATTGGATGATGATCAAACAGAAATCGATGTCAACTATAAGACAGATGATGTCTTGTGATTATTTTCTGATGGTTCAATGACTATTTCATTTGAATTAAAGAACAAAGGGGATTGAAATGAACAATTTACATTGGAAGTTATATTCGAACTTTGAATTAACTTTTATTTAATCCAGAGAATTTTTAAACAGATTTTGCTCCTTATTTATAATAAACATGAAGAAAATTTTCTTTTTTTTCTAATCAAATGCAAAACTTTTTAGGCGAAATAATTAGTATAAAAGATTGACAGTAAACATTTTTTCGCAGCTCAAAATCTAAGGATGATCTTAATGTGTTTTGGAGCACATATATGACCATATTAGAGTAATCGATTGTGGATGTACGTGTGGGTGTGAAAAGTCACACTCACACCCTTTTGGTGCGTTAATTAATGAGGGAACTTCTTTAAGAATCAGCTTATTGGTCAGTATATTCTATGCTATTAAAAAATAAAGAACGTAGAAATTCTTCAAATTCAATTTCGATAGTATTGTTTCGGCCATATAACTATCGGCATTCTACCACGTTGGCGATGTCACTCTCTAGGATGTTGTCTTTCAATGATTCCTATTTCAGTCACTGAATCTATTCATGATACTCTCATATGATATGTGAAGCATCAAAAAGTTTTTGATATCATGGTTATTATATTTATTGTATCTAGCAATTACGGTGATGTATCGAGTTAATCCTCAAGCTGTCTTCCGAGGGGTATTTCGACATGTCGAGCTGAGCCTGCAATGGGCATCGGCGCTCCAGATCGAGTAGTCTGATGGTCACTTTTCGATGAGTCGAGGGTTTGGCGATGAGTCTCATTGACTGGTTCTTCATGACGACTTCAACGGTTGATTTCGATGGATCGAAAGCAGTCGAAATATTCAACTTCATTGTACAGTCTTCAAATAATTGATATATTCCAACTACTCTATCTGATATTTCGACACCGATCAGAGGGTACCTCTCGATAGATTTTGAGAACACAGAATCTTTTCGAATGTGGGTGGCTGTGTGTGAATGTAAATGTTGGTGTATGGATGTGGGTGTGCGTTGAAAGAGAACATACTCACATTCACACCCACACCCATACCCTGTTACGGTCTGTGATAGTCTAGAAGATTTGCAAGATACTAGTTTTTGATTCTAGCACGTGCTTTGATAGACAGAATGAGACTTCTCGGTCATGATCAAAGTGATTCCATCGTGTTTCAAATTTTAACTCGGTAGAGATTTCATTAAAAGCATATTTTGGTAAAATATAAAAAATAACAATTGATATAAATATCAACTAGGATTCAGATACATCATATCACACGTTCTCTTTTCCTGTCTTTAATGATTCTATCCACAAAGCATGAATGATCATTTGCCAAAAGAAGATCAACTGAAAAACGCCTAACTCTATATACATGCAAGTGGGTTCTTAGCGATAGAATGATTATCTCTTTGTCTTGTAAACGTGTACGTACTTTTGAGTGTTATATATTTACGAAAGAAAAAAAACCCAATGCTGTTATTCTTGCCGTTCTTCTTTTTATGTGTTTCTTATCATTTTTTCTTTCTTTTAGTTATCACATAAGACACGATATGTCTCTACCATCAGATGTTTTTGCTCGAAAGATCTTCTTTGAGATTCACAATAGTTTATCGAGACAAGGTCCTGGAAGTACTCAATCGACTCTTCGAGCTCTACGCTCTGTTAATCCAGATCACAAACATCTAGACATACTAGATATTGGCTGTGGTTCTGGTGTGGCTACCTTTGATTTAGCAAGATTAGGACATCGCTTAACTGCAATTGATAATAATGAACCATTCATAAAGACTCTATTGGCACGAGCTAAAGAAGAATGCCTTTCAGAGTGTATAACGGCATTAGTTGGCGATATGTTTTGTCTAGCCAAATTCGTTACTCCAAATACATTCGATGTGATTTGGTCAGAAGGTTCAGTTTATATTATTGGTTTCGAACGTGGTCTTACTGAATGGAAGAAATTCTTGAACAAGGATGGTTATCTTGTCTGTTCCGAACTATCCTGGTTAACTGACAATCCACCATTCGAAGCTCATGACTTTTGGTCAAAACATTATCCAAATATGCGTTCTCGAGAAGAAAATCTCCGAACAATAAGAAAATGTGGCTATGAATTGATTGATAGTTTCATTTTAGCTGAAGAAGATTGGTGGAATGAGTACTATGGGCCGATGGAACGAAGAATTCAAGAGCTAGAAATGAAATACAAGGGACAGCAAGAAGCAGAAAGTGTGCTAGATGAGCAATTAAGTGAAATTAATTTGTATAAAAAGTATTCAGAGAGTTATGGTTATGTATTTTATATCATGAAACAATAAACAAGTTTTTTTTTTCGATTACATTTATAATGAGCATATCTCGAAGATGAAAAATAAAATCGGTTTGTTATTTTCATTAAAACATAATCTATGCGGTCTTTTGTATTTTTATAAAAAGACTTTTTGGATGTTGCTCAGATCCGACACAATGACGTGGAAGGAAAATTTCACCGTTTCCAAACGAATAATGAATGTGCATGGTGAAAGCAATTTGTATTTATTAAGAATTTAAGATTTTCTTAGTTCATTCGATGCGAAACTGAATCAAGTGTAATTTGAAAGCCTGGCCTCTTCTTGTTTTTTCTAACAAAGATTCAAAATCATGACGATGAGAACAAAAAAGTCAACACACGAAAGATAACATTGTGTGTGGCTGTCTTATCAAACTATCGTTAATATTTGATATTGATCTTAGTTTTTTTGAAAATAAATTTCTTCAGAAAGCAAGAATATCAAAATGCTTGTGTTGGTTGAAGCTGACGAAATGCTTAAAGAAGGATTTAAAGAACAAATTTACAACATCTTTACGTTAATGCCGGAAAATATTTAGGTATGACGGAAATGGTTCTTTCATTTTTAAGATGTTTTGCCTCTCATTAGACTATTCTTCTATTAGCTACTATGCCTAGTGACATTCTCGAAGTTACAACTAAATTCATGACTGATCCGATTAAAATTCTCAATAAAAAAAAATAAGAATTGACGCTTGACGGTATTTAGCAATTTTACATCGATGTTCACCGTGACGTAAGTGTTCATTAGCCATTAGCCAATGTTATTATTCAATATACTGACCATATATGAATTTATCATCTTTAGGATTACAAATTTGACACGCTTTGTGATCTCTACGCAGCAATGTCCATTACGAAAGCTGTCATTTTTTGTAATACTCGCCGAAAAGTCGAAATTTTAACAAAATCGTGATTTCACTGTATCAGCTATAGTAAGTTTCTGAACGTCGTATTTCAGTAAGTACTTCTATGATCAATCTTACTCAACATGCATATTTTCTATTGAGAATATATTGGATTTGATGAGTATCCATTCATAGTTGATTTTTTGTTCGTTTAGAGCGGTGACGTGGATCAGCAACAGCGTGATTTCATCATCAAAGAATTTCATTCCGGCTCCAGTCGCGTATTGATCGCAACCGATTTATTGGCACGTGGTATCGACGTCTAACACGTCAGTGTGGTCATTAATTATGATTTGTCAAACAACCGTGAAAATTACATCCATCGGTTATTCATTTTCAAATATTTGACATAAAAGAAACTATATAAAATTCGATTTGTCTATTGCCTTTTTCAGTGTCGGTCGTGATGGAAGATTCGGTCACAAAGATGTTGCAATTAATTTTGTCACTGATAAAGATCGAGCAACATTACGTAGCATAGAACAACTTTATAATACAAAAATACACGAGATGCCAATGAACATAGCCGAACTGATATAAAGAGAGGTCGTTTTTATGCATCTATGTTGATATCATCACTACTAACTTTTTTCTATCTAACATATTGCTGATGATGTATATATATTACACAAGAACAATAAACTCATATATTCCTATCGAATTTTTCTTAATCCAAAACCACAACTAGTTCGAGTCACATCATTGTGTGATATGTATGAACGAATGTCAATCGTTCTTACTACTATTCTCTACTTGTAATTATCTGTCTATCTCTTATTGTTTCAATTAGCTCAATAAAAATTCTATTTTCTCTTTATTTATATGTACTTGCCCATCAAATAGACAGATAATAAATGACCAAGCTATTATTGTTGTGTGCACAAACTCTATGACTTGGAAACATTTGGTGTTATATAATATGACCAAAGGCTTTTTCACTGCTTGAGATAAAAGAATTAGAAGAGAATAGTATCTCATAACCGAAACTAACTGAAGATTTAATCGTTTATCATCGTTAAACCTAATAATATTCATGCTTGACGTTAGTATTTGTTCGATCAAAACTATTATTTGGAGATAATTCAATCTTCGATACGACGAACATCTTTAATCAATTTTATATTAAAACATCTGCGAACATTTGATGCGAGATTAAATACTATGGATACATTAGATCTTCTACATTGCATTGTTGAAAGTATAGCTATATAAAAAAAACAAATTGTATATCAAATGTATTGTTGAAAATATTATAAACCCAATGATGGAAGGTAGTTGCATTTAAAGAGCGGAGAAAATTCATTATTTTTATACTTCTGTTTAGAAACAAAGATCATCTCAGTAATAGTGTTCGATCTCTGAGATGCATAGTAAAGTCTTTCAAAACAAAAAAAAACACGATTGTTTTAGATCATTTAGTAATAGAAATAATCCTATCTAACAATTTTTGTCATCATAATAATCGTCGAATATTGATTTGTATAGCAATGCCATATAAGTGGAATTTCAAAAGTACCATCGCTGTTCGAAATAAATTGTTTCTAGTTGTTGATATTGATATTCATGATTATCTGTTGTCCTCTTGATCATTGATTTTCCTGTTGACTAAAACTGATTTTTTTTGAAATATTTTAACTATCTTTTCATCGATTCCATTCGTGTGCACAGTATAGAAGTCAATAGTCATCTGTCGAAGACCAGGTGAATATATATTTCAATAATTTTTTTGCCATTCAACACGAAGTCGTCGTAAACCTGGAAACGAAGCCAACATAAATGCTGGATTAGATGATGTAGAGTTGAAAATAATTTCAAGTTCACGAACGTGGTTTAGTTTATGCATTGACGACTTCGAAGTAGATAATAATTCCTGCTGTGGACATATGCGAAGTGATCGAAGATTCGATGTATTATCATGAGTAAATAAAATGGTGTTCGATGTTCAAAGGCAGCGACTTATAGAAAAACGATAGAGATAGGGAAGAATAACTGTGGTTCGAGGAAATTCATCATTAGCATGTCTCAATCATAATGAAAAGTCACAAGTGACATAAAATAATGAGCATATTTACAAAATATAAAATTTACTAGAGAACGAAAATCAAAACCATTTGGCCATCCACTATCAAGAGTTAAATATTTAAGTTGTTTACTGGATGCAAGCTATCGAAGAACTAAGTTTATCAATTCTTTGTCGATTCCTTGGAATGAGAGCGAAGAAAGAATTTGTTCAATTATTGGTAAAAATTGTTTATCGATATCAGTAATGTTGCTATGAAACGATAAGTGATAAATTTGAAAATAATCAATGGAAGACGCTAGAGTATTCCAGACTATTGGGTGTCTTGTTTGAACTCATCGAACAGCACATGGAGATCACATGAACGAAGTAGTTTATTGAAACGATGATTGAGTCCATAGAAAGCAAATTAGAGCATATAGACATCGAGATATTCCAAAATAACAAGTAACACTTCGTTACTTAAAGATTCAGGTCGAGTAAAAGTGACATGTGACATGACTGCATGTCAATGCACATGTTACAATTGAATGCGCAACAATTTAAAGAAACAATCAGTATTGCGACATTACGTTACAATATTTATCATGACAAAATACAAACACATATCTACTAATTGTTTTTCAACCTTTTTCCATGCACATAAATTATGCTTGTGTCAGAAAAAAATTATTTTTAACTAGCCTCAATACCGAGTGATTATAGAAAATATATATTCACTCAATCAAGAAAAATCAGGAGAAGACAATAATCTTGTATTTATAATAAGAAAATTGATGATATTTCAAGAAAGATAATTCTAGGTAAAAAGAAATTACTCTTAAAGAATTATTTTTATAAAGATCATTGTCAAATCTTTGCAAGTCATCAGAAAGTTTTCGAGCATATTCACAAAGGTGTTTCTTATCGATTGAAGTTGTTGAACTAACTGATGAACTACTCATTTTAATATAAATTTAAATGTGTTTCTATTTTTAAATTAGAATAAAATTGAATAAGAAAGCTTTCCAATACAGTATATTCTTTGAGTGCATAATACAAAATATGAGATAAATGTTTGTAAAAATAGTTTAATTAAAATGTAATCAAACCTAATGTATTTCATTCACGCATTGTTTTATTACCTAGTCATCCATATACTGACAAAAAAAAAATAAGTATTGAACATTATTTAACAAAGGATATCAGTGCAGTGTTGATGTATGTGTATGTATTCATACAACAAGCAACAAAATTCACAACCACAAGCTTATCTTTTTTTTTCTCTATGAAGTGACTCGATTTTTTTTCTTCTTTCGAGTGTCTATGATTACAAGTACTGTTACAACAATCGACCTAGGAGAAATAATGATTAGAAGAATTTTTCGAAATTTAATAATAATAATTTTTAAAGAGGGAAATTCGAAATTCAACTTTGGCATATCTTTCGTCAGAAAGCGCATCGAAAACTGATTGAAATGTCCAATGAAAGGACAGAGGTTTTTTCTCGCCGGCAAAGCAATGGTAAGAGAAAGAGAAACATTATATATTATTTGTCTTAGAATGAAAAATCATTTACGATGTCAGATTGAAACAGTTCGAGCATTTCTGAAACGAAATATCAATATAAGTACCAATGGATTATACTACTATTCGTTCCTTTTCATTCACATTATTTATATGAACTAATCAATGATCTATGAAAAACCTTGCTTCACTCTTGAAACTTTAGATAAAGATAAAATTTTCACATCAATCACAGAGTATATCTGCCATCAAAGACTTACTTCAAATATATTTGAAACTTTTTTGAATATAATAAATACATCCTTGAAACAATGATTCGTGATCTTCGTACATATTGTGATCAAATCTGTGAGACTTAATAAGAAAGGTACTGCATGAAGTGGCTTTTTTTCTAATCCAGCTAAATATTTAGTTGATTGTATTCCTAAATTGTTTAAGAATGAATGATGCACTCTAAATTACTTTATTTTTCGTTAGAAAACAAGCTACAATTAAAAATTCAATTTAATTCATCGAGTTCTATTTCAAGTTGTTCCGAAAGTCGTTCAATATTCCATTCCATACTTCGTATTTTACCATGCCAGACAGTCAAACATTTTCTGTAGATAGCTAATGCTTGCTGATAGTAAGTAAGTGCCAACATAGGATTATGAATATTTTCGTAAATCTCACCTATAGTCGATAAACTATCACCAATATCCACATGATCTGGTGGTAGCACTTTAAGACGCATCAAAAAACAATTCTGTTCATGTATAAGAGAGATATCATGTTGGTCTCTCTCTCTTTGTATCTGTGATAACCATTGAAGTACTTGAGTGACGGAGGGATATTCTGAAGTTGAACTGGTTTCTTCAATTAATAACCATCTTTTTAAATATTCGACAGCGAGATCGAACTTGGATTTTCTTCCGAAGTTAGCAACAATCCAGGATAGACAGCTAGAAATTTCAATATGATCCTTGGGGTAATGTTCTTCAAATAACATCAATGCTTCTTGATAAAAGTCAAGAGATTCATCATATTTTCTTTGTTGAAACAGAGTTTTACCGATGGCCTTGAGACTGCTAGCAATTCTAAATTCATTACTAGGCGAGTTACTTTTTAAAACTGTCAATGCTTGTTGTTGAAAGTCAAGAGCTTCATCATACTTTCTTTGTTGATACAGGGCATTTCCAATATTGGTAAGAACGGTAACAATGCCGTTATAACCAAGTGGATGGATTTTCTCTCGAATAGTTAATGATCGTTGATAAAAATCAATGGCTTCAGAATATTTTTCTTGACTATATAGAACATTTCCAATATAATTCAGACTATTTGCGACGTCAACATTAGGTAATTCGTCGTTTTTTTCTCGAATAGCCAAAGCTTTTTGATGAGCTTGAAGAGCTTCATCGTACTTCTTTTGTTCATATAGAGTGTTACCAATATTTCTCAGAATGGTAGCAATGCCATTATAACCAAGTGGATCGATTTTCTCTCGAATAGTTAATGATCGTTGATAAAAATCAATGGCTTCATTATACTTCTCTTGACTATATAGGACATTTCCAATAGAGTTGAAAGTATGAGAAATTTCGATGTGACCATCAGGATAGAAGTTTTCTTGTATTGAAAGTGCTCGTTGATAATATTGAATGGCTGCGTCATACTTTCCTTCATCGTACAAAACATGACCAATACGATTGATGGTATTAGCTATGATGATACTGTCTGTTGGACAATATTTCTCTTGAATTTCTAATGCTTTTTGATGATATGCAACCGCTTCATCGAATCTTTGTTGTTGACGAAGGGTTGTACCGATATTATTGAGAGTAGTCGCTATGCTCACATGACCATTTGGATAATAGTTCTCTTGCATTTCAAGTGCACGTTGACAAAACTTCAAGGCTTCATCGTATTTTTTCTGTTCCATGAAAACATCACTGATGTTGTTGAGACTATTGACAATTTCATTCTGACATGATGAACAATATTTTTCTTGTATTTCAAGTGCTCGTTGATGATAATCAAGAGCTTCATTATACTTTTTTTGTGTACATGATATGATCCCAATATTGTTCATATAAAAAGCAATAGAAGAATGATCAGATGGAAGGTACTTTTCGATTGTTGCGAGTGCTCTTTGTTGAAAATCAATAGCCTCATTGTATTTTCCTTGCGCATTTAGAATGTTGCCAATATTGTTGAGACTCGAGGCTATTGAGCCATGACCTGAAGGGTAATAGCTCTCTTGCATCGTTAGTGCTCGTTGACTATAGCGTAGAGCTTCATCATATTTTGATTGACGAATTAGTATCTCAGAAATGGAATTGAATGTGTAAGCAATCTTTGCATAATCATATGGATAATATTTCTCTTGAAGTGTTAATGCTCGTTGATGGAAATCAAGAGCTTCGTCATACTTTGCTAGTTCCTTTTGTACATAGCCGATATTGTTTAGAGTACTAATAATATCAGTGTGGCCAGAGAAACAAAATTTCTGTAGAATTTTCAGCTCTTGATCAAAAAATGTCAGAGCTTCATTATATTTTCCTTTTACATAGCGAACATGCCCTATTCCATTGAGACTAAAGGCAATATTGACATGACCAGATGGATAATATTTTTGTAGCATTGCCATTGCTTGTTCATAATTCTTTAGAGCTTCATCGTGTTTTCCCAGGAGAACGAGAATGTAAGCGATGTTTAGAATGGTAGAGGCAATGTAAACATGACCATTTGGATAATATCTTGTATAGATTGATATTGCTCGTTGAGAGAACTCTAGAGCTGTATCGTAGCTTTTTTGATATGTAAGAACTTCACCAATGTGGTCAAGACTAATAGCGATGTCTATATGAGGAGATTGATAATATTCTTCGAGTATTGCCAATGCTTGTTGATGAAAGATTAGGGCTTCGTCATATTTTTCTTTGCGCCAGAGAATCTTTCCAATGCCCTGAAGACTATAAGCAATAAGAACATTACTACCTGGTTTAATCTCAATTGTTGTCAACCAATCAGTTCCCTGTATGTTTTGACATATTTCTAGCAAATGTCTTTCGGTCAATATTTCTCCAACGGATTCTATTTTGTTTGCCGTATACTTTGATGGAAGCTGGGACGAAATTTGTCGATATTCTGAAGTGCAGTGCCATTGAGAAGACGATTGAAAGTATTCTTCTAAATTTGAAGAAACTGAGCAGCATAATGTGGGAACATCGTTGAGTATACTATTATGTTGCTGATTTGGTGGCGCGGATCTATCAAAGTTGGAAGACGAATAATTTTTCTTTTGAATTTCCATTGCTCGTTTATAACAATTGTGAGCTTCTTCATACTTTCCTTCCAGATAGAGAATCTCACCAATTTTGAATAGAATATCAGCTAAATCCTTGATATATATTGGTTTAGCATTAATTATCCTATCATAAGCACGATCATAATATTTCCGGGCTTCACTCCATTCTCCTTTCCATTGAAGGACCTCACCAAGACTAAGTTCAATCTTTGTGAGGTCTTCGTTGTTGTTATTCGAATCATTTAATAAAAGTTCAAAAAAATGTTGTGATTGGTTCCATTCACCCATGTCACACATCAATCGTCCAAAAAGAATTTTGATACTGAGATCCTTCTCTATCTGACGACATGAGTCTTTGATATATTTGTCTTTAATAATTTGACCTTCATTCGACGCACTCATATCAATAAAGCAAATCTCTTCTTCATCCATTCTTACACTTTCCAATCGATAAGTGACAGTTGAATTGAAGAGAATTTCTTGTTGTTCTTCATAGAGATCAGCAACAATGACAGTGTTGTTCAGATGCTGTAGATCACATTGAATTTTTAGAAGAACAGAGATGAGATTAGTTTGTTTAGAAGATTTCATCATTTGATTCAATGCAGTTGAACGAAGAATATTTGTTGTGAAAAACCCATGGATTGAAACTAATTTACCTTGGTTCTCTTTGAATTTCTCGATTTGATCTTTTGTCATTTTCATTCCTCGATAAACTATTAATATTTTTTGGCCAGACTGAACCATCTTTTGATGTTCTCGAATTAGACATTCTATTAGATCTTTCATAAAATGTCGGAATATGTAAAGCTGATCGAAGTCTTTGATTCGCATAGCTTTATTGATGATTCTATAAAGAAACGTCTTTTCCAAATACCATCGAAGAGCTTCTTCTGATCGATATTCATTTTCAAACTTCTTAATCAACTCCAATTCTTTAGTATTGTCACGATAATAGGAACGACATGCATCGATCATTTCTTGTTTTGCTTCTGCATTATATACTAATTCCAATAGAACATCATGATAAAGATGAAACCAAAGAAGATCAGCAGTTTGTTTTGATAGATCTTTTGTGAAATGCTCATCTTGATCGAAAAAACTAAATGTTTTCAAGTGTAGATCAAGATAATCAATTTGTTCTTGAATTGATAAACATAATAAGTCAAGTTCATCATAAATACCAATCAGTTTTGAATGGTCAAGAACTAAATTTTTATGATCAATTTTCTCCCAATTAAATATAAAGATGCTATCAACTGGAGATAGAGTCATAATGTGAGGCACTATTCGTAATGTATCAGAAATAGAAGAGATGAAAAAGATTTTTTCATTCTGAATTGATTGCATAAAATTGATGCAAATTTCAAGTTCAGTATGGAATACGATATAATCATTGATTTGATGTAGGCGTTGTTTTGTTTGTTCTACAAGATAATTCGATTTCATTTTTGAATCAAACCAAATCAGAGTAATATCTTCTTTATTGTTTATTCTGTTCATCAGTTCTGATGAATTTTCCAAGATAATAGATTGTTTTGCCATAGATCGTAAAAGTATCAAGATAGTTATGTAATTGAAATGTCAACGAATCACTTCTATAAGACAACAATGAGCTTTAGATTTTGTAATAATGGAAATGTATTAAATTTTCACAACATATGAAATACGTGAATGCTTAGGTCATTCATACTATCATCGACATTAACGAATTCCATTGAACTCATAAGTGATTTTTGAGGGTGGCAAGGGATGTCTTGTTGTGGACTTGGATGAGCGTTCATTTTACGATACATATACGAAGAAGAAACCATTCTCAGATGTTCGCTTAAATATTTTATCATGATGACATATTTAAGAAAATAACATAAGTTATTTTTGTTCAAAACTATGTATTTGACAAGCAAAAACTAAGAAAGACAAGTCTCGATGCACGATAATCAGAGACTCGAGCATTTCTATCAATGAATATTTCAGTAAGAATATTGAAGATATTACTCAAGCCAATAATATTCTTATTAATAGCAGTAGAAGAGACTTACGTACGAAGTTGAAATGTACAGGATTCACATTGTAAAAAAAGAAATCGATTCTTACTCATGTGAGAATGACCAAGTAAATGGGGAACAAGCAATTACTGTCTACTCTTCATGTCACTCTACTTACCACTTAAAATGAAACTAGTAGAACGATTGATTATGTTTATATATGCTCGTTGTTCGGCTGTATGATGTATATATTATTGAAAGGAAGTGACTAATGTTTTTTTTCAACTTGCGATGTGTTTACGTATACAAAAAAAAATATCTTTTTTCTCGCCATATGATAAGACTACGAGATAGAAATACGTCATGCTATTTGTTTGGTTCTGTGTATACGCTAGATCAATCCTCTTTCGCGTTCTCTTATTCATTTTCTACCTTAATGTGCATTATAATTTACTCAAAACGATGTATATTTTTGAGCAACAAATTTCTTTTTAACGTTTTTCAAAAAGAAATATGTATAGGGGTTTCAAATTTGAGTGACCAAATTGATAGGAAAGTAATAAAATTCGAAATAGTATGTTTGTCAAAATGCTCATGGTTATTCATTTTAGTCATAGATATCATTGTTGAAGAAAATACAAGTTTTATATGTATATACTATGTTTCTGATTGTCTTTTTATAAAAGAGAAACATTATGCTTATTGTAAACTAATCTGAGAGTTAAACCATGTGCTTTGAATAAGACGGAAGAGTGAACTAAGATTCATGTCTAATTAATTCTACAATCAAATATTTGAGTACATAATGAAAACAAATGAATTTCGCTCCTAGTAACCACTAACAATCGACTCATTTTCTAATATTATGGCTAGTATTTATTTGAACAATAAAAATATTGGAATGAGTAATAATTAAGATGCGATATAGCAATAATTTTTGAGTAATAAGAAAACTAGCTTTGAGCAATTTTATAATATTAAATGTGCAATAATTAATTCATTAAATAGCAGTAGTAATTTCATATTTTAGCAACAAGAAAAAGGAAAAGTAAGATATTTTTATTTACAGTTGACAATAAAAAACAAAGAAAAATGAAAAAATTATTGTGTTAATAAAGCTTTTTTTTGCTTCAGCTGGTCTTTCTTCTTTTCTTTTTGTATCAATATCTACATCTTTTGCCTCTAGTGAGGGTTTGCACCCTCACTCACCCTGTTATCAAGAGATTACTTTCATATCATTGTCACTGTCACTGTCAGAAATATACTGCATTACGTGTTGTGATTGAGCCATTTATATAAATTATATATTTTATTTTATAACATTGAAAAAATACGGTTTGTATAAATAAATTCTTAACATAAGAATTTTCCTATTCACTGTATTAGAATTATCCTATTGATCATCTTGAAAATTTAAATAAACTATTGCTCATTCAGTATAGTTATTGTTGATTCAATATAATTATTGCTGAATCTAATTATCGCTCGCTTTCAATTATTTTATTGCTCAATTAAATATAAGTCTAATATTATTAGCTCATTCGCTTCAGGCAAATAAAATTATAGATATATGATCAGTAAAATTATTTTAAACATCATATCTCGAATTTTTGCATACGGATCATTGATTTGTCGAATATATTGATTTATTTTTAAATGATGGAGAACATTTCTTTGAAAATAACGGGTAGGTCATATATAACCGATCTCTTAGTATTTTTAAAATTTCTTCTCTATTATTCCTCTGATTAAAACATTCAATATTTTTATCAAAAGATAGCGCTTGAAATTCTCCACAAAACCCTATATGACTAGACTCTAAAACTGTTTTAGATATATTTGAAAAAAAAATGAAAAATAAAGACATACAAAAAGCTGTAAAATGTAACGGGTTGTACATAATGAATGGCAGCGTTTTGCATCCCATTTTTTCATTACTTACTTCGCTCTACTAGAAAAACAAAATATACCAAAAGATGCAACATGAAAAGCTCTACAATTTACACAGGATCGCCTATTTTATAGTTGTACTTTTCATTTTCAAAATGGACAAAGTTTTGAGTGACCAAATTGCGACCATGCGAAAATAATTTTTTTTTTTGGTACAAAATGAATTCGCTTTTTCTTATTTTCTCTTTGTAAATTGTAGAGCTTTTCATGCTGCATCTTTTGGTATAGTTTGTTTTTCTAATAGGGCGAAGTGATGGAAACATTAGATACAAAGCGCGATCATTCATTATACACAAATACGTATATGTATCATCAATCAATGATTATCTTGTTTTTTTTCATCAAACGGCAATGTGCTATTTATCGTTTTATTGGCAATTTATTGTAGACATTTTTATTGATAAAATATTCTCAAAAATCAATTTATCACAGTTCTCTGACTGATTGAATACATTTTGTTTCTTGTGTATTGGTTTAAAAAATTCTGTGTAACGAAAAGTTAAAAAACCTTGATCATGTCAGTGAGTTTTATTATATACCTACCAGTATTTCATTTAGTTTCATAACCTTTAATTATTTTTTTTTCAAAAATCTAAAACCATGTTAAGGATTTGCGAAGACTTTTTTAGAGTTATTAAAATTTCAGACAATCAAATATGCACATTATAATTATGCAACCGAATGCATTGAGTACAAATTGACGCGATTAATCGACTACAAAGACTAATCGTAAGAAACTAATGTATGTTATGATCCGAAGTTCACATTAATAATGAAAATTTTGGTTTTTTTCATACGTTATTTAAAATCATTTTAATTATTGTGACACTTTAAGATCAAATAACAGTTGTTCAGCTTTACAACTTAGAATGATTTTACTACCGATGAAGATAACACTTGATACATCTATTTACCGTTTTCTTATCTCCAAAAAGCCATATACATTCTAGCAGTAAATATGCACAACTAACTGTTGTCAATATAGAGACGAAAAGTATGAATATTATATCTTTATTTGAACCAAAATGAATGCTTGTTCTATGACAGATCTAGTTTGAAGATGCAGCTATTATCATCAGTTGCATCCTTGGTCGAGTCATCTCAAAACGAAATATGCTTTGGATTTACACAGTGTTTTTCTTTCAATCAAATACGTTTTACTTTAAGTTCTGCAGTAAGATCTTTCCAGAGGAATATCTAGTTCAGCAAAAACTCAAATCAAAGAATTTCAAACTAGAATCTTGCCCATGTATAGATCTCATGATCCTTAAAATGTTTTCAAGATTTCAGTTGAAATGAATAGATTTCATCTATAAACAATTCAAACAGATTCTATCAAAATTATGATTATATCCTTCTCATCTGTTTTGAATTAACCTTCAGATCGATTTTTACTTGTTGGAATATGCTCTTCATTAACATAATGAATACACTATCCTAAGTTAAACTGATGATATGTGGGTTTATGTGTCTGTGACAGGCAGTGTACGAGTCATGATGTGGATGGCAATATGGATTTGGATATAATTCAACGGAAAATCAGAGCCCACACCTCTACACCTACACACAAAACCTATCACACTCTTCTCCGAAGGAACTGAGAAGCAATTGGGATAGGAAACTTTTGTCATGTCCATCTGACGGCAGTTCATCTTGATGAATTAATGAGAGATTTTACTAGAATGTGTGAGATGATTGAGGGTTAGTTCCCAGTTTCTTGAAGAATGCATTACTTTTAGCCAGTACTTTTAGGTATTGAAAGAATTTTCAAACCTTAGTCCTTGAACAATCCTTCGTAACTTGTCTCGTACCTTAAACACATTCAAGACCCCAAGCCTTGAAAAAAGCCAGCTTTATCCATCTCCAATACTGGGCACTATGTCTCATTAAATTGATATGTTTTATTTGACGACGGAAAAGCTGAAATTTTTTTCGTAAATAGACCTTGGAATCATTAAAAACCTCCCAAAATTTCAGCGAGAACAGATTTATTCTTATCAAGATCTGAGCTTGTTAGGAAACATATCCTTCCTTCCAAATACAGTTTCGCAAAGGTACTCCTCTTAAATATAAATATGTCGGCAAGGAGACATTCATTCTGACTCAAACATACGAATGTTTCTAATGACAATAATATCTATCTATGAACAAAATTTCAGCTCAAAATTCGATCATTTAGGCTGTCAACGATCTTCTATTCATAGATCCAAAACCAGCAAAATAGATTTTTTCACTATTCATCATGATCGACTGAATCACAATAATCTCAAAGGAAAAACCATTGAATAGTTGAGAATAATTCCTCGTGAGCGATTCTCGAACTGCTCAAACTGTGTCATGCTTTCTTCGTATTAATCAAAAGATCACAAGATATTTTATCGAGAAAAATACAATGAACAATTAAATAAAAGATAAATAGATCGAAACATTAATACACGTAAATAATGTTCTTCTCTATCATTAATATTTTCATAAGAAAAAATCTCAACAAAGATTATGCAATGATTTAATAATGATATATTTGAATAAATTTAATATGAAATGCATTTAATAATCGATTATTTCTTTTCTTTTTTTTCCAATATTCTAAAAATCAAATTTCTGTAAGAACTTTAAGATATAACATATATTATTTGATCAACATAATCTTTTCGAACTAATTCATCAAAATATTGAACACAGGATGATTGAATTCTGTACAAAACAAAAGGTAAAATAAAAAAAAACAAGATTTACAATTATATTAATTTCACGGTAAGCACTACCAACAAAAAAATAATTAAGAGTTGCTTCAATGAAATATAATCGTCAATGTCTTTAATATTCTAAAAAAAACCAAATTTTCTGTTTTAAAGAGAAACAATAAATCACATTCATAGGTACAACTTTCTTTTCTGTACATGTTACAAAAAACTGTAATTCATTCAATATATATAAAATAAAAATAATCCCGTCTACTTTTTTTAAGAGCGAGCAGTTGATCCATACAAAAAGGATAAAGCATCTCAAATAAGAAAACAAGTGTTCACAGAAAAAAAGATTTAAACAACATTTTCGGGAAACTCAAGTTTTCCATAGAATCATATCAAGCCATCTTCTAACGAACCTCATCTAACTTTTTTCGATCAGACAGACAATATCTTCAGAAATACGTTAGACTATATCTCAGAGATGGTTTTAAACTGTGTTGAAGATTTCGTTTTTTTTTAATGAAATAAATAAATTAACGTTCGGATATAAACCCTAGTCGAGAATCCCGACAGGGATTCCCTATGGATTTACGAGGGAGTCAAGAAGTCCGCAGGGGTTGACGTGGGAGTTTCTGGGAATCTCATAAGGACTCTCCAGGAATATATTATGAGACTTATGATGACTGCAAACGATCGTACACGATGTTTTGATCATAATATCCACCCCAAGTGAAATCTCATTATAAAATCCCCTCGAAGTTCCAAGGAAATCGTGACAGGAATCTCACCAGGAACCGAGAGTGAGTGTGGGACTCCCCAGAGATTCGTTTAGGGAAACTAGTGCGAGCGTTCAGAACTCAATAAATGTGAACAAGATTTCTTACAATGAAATTTTAATACTCATTATGAATATTTATTTAGAAAAAAATTAATATTTTTGTTTTTTGTTGATATTTTTTTTTTATTTCGAAATAAATTTATGATTAGTCACTTCGATCATCCAATCAGATTCATTGAATTTTCAATCGTCGTTCCATATATGAAACAAAAAAGAATATAGCATCACATAGTTAGTCAAGTACTAGTAGAGTTTAAAGCACGCTTTTGCCTTTATCTACACTCTAATTGATATATGCAATTTTCTAATAGTATCTGCTGTAGAGTTGTAATCGAATCGTTTGTTTGTTGGTCTGGAAAAATTGTCTAAATAAGTCAATTTTTCATCTGAAAAAAAAAGTTTCCTAGAACAAATTCTTCTCAGAATCAAAAGCATTCCTATTTTGTTTTTCTCAAGTATAATAACAAATTAAAGTAATTAGAAGTTAGTACTTCTTTTGTGAAAAATCATAAAAGGCCAAACAAACTCATTTTTACTATTTTGAACCGCTTACAAGTTTTAACTTGACTGACGTTGACGGCAAAGACAATAAAAACAAAAAAAAAGCATTTCAGTTGTCACGTGAGTTATTATTATGACGAAGTTAATCTGCAAAAACTAATAACATATGTTAATATTATTGTCTTATCAACATCTAGAATAAAACATCGATTTTCAGTTTTGCATGGAAAATGTTTAAAATATATTTATTAAATTCTTAAGTTATATATGTTTTTCTTTGTTGTAGATTATTATTTTTATCAAACGAAAAAAATGTCACATCAACTATGTCAAAATTGTGGTTCAAATCAATTTGAACTTATCGATGGACGTCTGTATTGTATTATATGTCAATCACAAAATTTATCATTACAAACACATGTTTCATTTGCTAATGAAGGTAATGCACAATTAGGTCGTCGAGTACCTGAACAAGCACAAATATTATCAACATTTGATGAAATAATACCAGAAATAAAAATTTTTGAAGATAATAAAATAATATCATATTCAAAAGATTTAACAGATGAAATTAAATTACCAATGAAGAATATATCTATTGATGATGATAATGATGATAATGAACGATTATTATTAGAACAACATGTATGGAGTTCATATGAAGTATATAGTTATATATTAAATAAACAAATTCAATCAATTATTCATTTAGATTATATAAAAAAAGAAAAACATAATGAATTTATTGAATGTACATTTATGCTTTATTTACGATATTTATCGGCTAATGGTATACTTAATACAAATAAACAAAGAATATTAATAAAACAAGAAGAACGACGATTAAAAACAAATATTCTATCGAAATTAATTTATACTGATCGTTATGATCAACTAGCAAAATTAAATACACATATATTAAAAAAAAACTTATGTATACTTAATTTAGATATTCTTATTGGTTTAATTCATTGGTAAGAAACAAAAATATTGAAGAAAATTGTAGAAATGAATTTTCTTACTAGAAAACTTACAATTTTGACCGATGAGCTAATTCTCTTGAAAACTTTATTCATGCTAAGTTTGACATCGAAAATCGACTTTATATGTGACCTAACGTAGATGAAAAAATGCAAAAAAAAAACAACCCATTCTTAACTTTTCTATTATTCACAGTATCGTTTCGATCGAAAAACAATTTGACATCTGGAAAGGTTCTCTCATCAGTCAAATGCGTCTACTTCTTTTCAATTAATTCAAAATAGAAACGCAATTGAAACCACACGTAACTGTCACCACTTTGTTCTAGGTTTTTACTAACCAGGGGACTCTACTAAGTAATTAAAATAGCTTTTAGAGTGATAATTTGCCCATAGGTTGAACCTCATGAGACTAGACAAAGCCCTCATAGATCTTCCTTCCAGTGCTATGACCAGGATATTGAATTTTCGGCTCAAGCTAAGATATTAAGAAAAAGACAAGGGATGACGAACTCTCGATCTGAAATTTTGCCATTTGTAGGCTTCATGGCCTTTCGTATGCGCTAATAGTGTCAGGTGGAAATCTCGTCATTTATTTTTTTTTTCTAAATACGTTAGCATGAGGCGAAAAGTAGGTAAACTAGTCATAGCTTCGGTAGGAAGGTCTATAAAGGCTTCTTTTTAGTCTCATCAGGTTCTACTTATAGGCAAAATATCACTCGCAGCGCTTTTAATCACTTAGTGGAGTTTCCTCATAAGAGTAAATTTTTGCAAATAAAATATTACATAATTATAAAAATATCTGACATGAAAGGCAAATTGATTATTAATAATAATGAATAGCAATAATTAATTTGAATTCATTAATTTAAAAATTTCCTTATTAGAGTGACTGTAACTAAATATATGGACAGTAGTTTATGTTTTATGAATATCGGAATTATAGAAAAACAAAGGATTGAATTCAAGGAGACTACATATGTTTTTGACAAATTCTTACACAATGAAATTTACAATACATATTATGGGCAGTCAAAAAGTTTGGAGAATTTCCACAAAGGACCGTGCCGGATTTGGTTACATACTCAGAATTAATAAACCAACCATATCATGTTGTAGAGCAAGTCGAGGCACGTCAAATGGTATATAATAAATCTTGTTTTCAAAAAATTTTGAGGAAATCAGATTAGATTTACTGGTGGGTAGCCATGCATTCAAAGACTCGCCGACAGGCATTACCCGTGACAAACGATAGTGAGTCATCGAAAAGTCGCATTTTTCTTTATCAAAAATAGAATGATCGGAGGTACTAAGTATATAACCTTGTAGCCCGTGAAAAACTCTACAAAATTTTATATAGGAAAATTATTTTTACAAATACTTTCGACTGATACCAAGGCCTAGAATGGTCAGTGCTTTGAATGCATGACCACCTATCGATAAATCCAGTCTGATTCCCTTAGAATTTTTTGAAAACAAGATTTATTATATACCATTCGACGCGTCTCAACTTGTTCTACAACATGGTATATTTGGTTTATTAATTCTGAGTAGGTCACCAAATCCTACATAGTCCTTTTTGAAAATTCTCAGAACTTTTTGACGGCCCATGGCATATTAACTTTATTTCTTAATTTTCTCTGTCTGCCTTAGGCATGCATTGAACTCAAATGTTCGAGTGCGATCTTTATCGTAATCATTTAAGAGTTAATTAATCTAGTTCAATGTATGTGTAGTCTAATTAATAATGACTAGAGATGTGCAGATACCACAGGAAAATATTTGTGTATAAAATTATTCTTGAGAAACAAAAATATCATTTTTTTTTTTTTTTTGTTGCTTCTTTTTTCATAGTGCTTGTACATTAATTAATTGTCCAATAACAATAAAACAATTAATTGAATGGATAAATACAAATAAAATTCCATATTATAATATAAAAACTTATTTACCTGAATGGATGCGAGCAACAGGTCGTGATCGATTTAATCTTGAAAAAATGAATATACATTCTGGAAATTTATTTTTTTATTATAATAATTGTATTCAATCAATAATAAAACCTTATTTATATCAATCTATATTTCAATCTACAACATATTTCTATGAAATACTTTTACATTATTGTAAAATTTTTTGTCAACAAATTTATTTTCCATTTGATAAATATACATGTATATTATTTGAATCAATATGTCATAGAATTGTTGAAATAAAATTAACACGTCAACGTTTTCTTTCTACATCATTTGATATAGAATTAACATCAATATCAATCATAATAATTATTATTTTATTAAGATTTCTAAATGATTATTTACTTGATGAATTTATTCAACATATTAATAAAAATAATGAAAATCAACAATTATTTTCATATAAATTATGGTTAAAAAATTTAAATTATTTAATTTATTTACAATCTATTCGATATTATCAATTTTATGGACGAAAATCAATATTATCAGAAACAATTACAGATAATCATTCAAAATTAAGATATATGAAAAATTTATCAAATATATTTAATCATAATATAGAATTAAATAATGAAAAAAAATTACATGATATTTATGAAAAAGAAAAAGAAATTCAACAAATTTTAATTGAAAATTCAAAATCAGGATCATTAATTTATGCAATAAATACAAAAGAATTTTTTTTGAACAAATTTCAAAATTTATCATCAAGTAAATTGAAAAAAAAATTGAGTTTTTTGTTTTTCTTTTTATCTTAGGTATCTATAGACAGCGAAAATTAAATATCGCTAATATATTATGATTACTATTCAAAAAATATAAAACCTGACATTAATAATATGTTTGTCATTAAGTTCTTTTGATCCGAAACTTTGTCTTATTGATTTAAATATTTAATGTTTCCATTAAAAAATAGTAATATGACATAGATTCCTGTAGTTTTATGACATGCTAAAAATTCATAGAAATATGAGATTTTATAATCCTCAGTCATTGAAATTTATATAAAAATTTTACTACATTTCAAAAAAAAAAAACTTGTTTTTATTCACTACACCCACGTCTTCATATTATTCATAGATATTATTCTACAAAAACTTAATCTTTATGAACCATGTTGACAACATCATAATTATATTCAGGATTATCAGTATTGAATCTATTCTTAGTTTTATATAGCATGACTAGAAAACATAGAAACATATTATTATGATAATCATCATTTCTTACTGACACATATTGTCAGTATATACATATATATATATATGTATAGTGAAAATGTCAATCTATATGTAATAGACATCTGTCACTCAAGCAAAAAAACAAAGACTTTTCTACTATTAATTTATTTAATTATGAATAAAAAAAAATGATTTAGTTAAATCATTACTGACAAATCGCAGTTACTACATATGAGTAATGTATTAAGTGCATATATGATTGTTATTAATAAAAGTTATTAAACGCCTTTAAATATTCATGATTATAGTATTCCAGTGAGATTTGAATTTTATATGAGAGTATATCTATTCGTTGGACTATTGATTAAATATTTCGAAATTAATCATTGACAGAAAGATTAAAAGCCTGTTTCACAAAGAATTAGTTCTATTGTATACAATGATTGTTTATGAATATGATATTGATTGATAACTCTATTTATTAATATAAACATTCTTATTTAGATTCTCTACCAACACTATTCGAAACAATTGTTAATACATATTCACCATGTCATTTTTCAATAGTTGATAAAAGTGAATTATATGAAACATTATTATCATTATTAAATGGTACAACAATAAATCAAATAGAAAATTTTTATTTACTTTATCAACAATTTGATTATGCATCATCATCAAATTTTCATTTAAATCATCTTATAATGACATTAACAAAATTTTCTTCCATACCATATAATCAAGATTTTTATTCATTTTTATCAAAATTTTTGAAAACATTTTGTTTTCATAATCAAAGTATTCATCATTATTTTTATCAATCAACATTATTAAAACGTTTTAATATGAAAAATATTTCAAAACAAATTGGAATGAAACAATATGGTATTGATCAATTACCAATTATATATGATCTTAAATTTGAACAAGAACAATCATTAATAAAAGAGCAAAAGAAATCTGAATGAAATTCTTTGTGTTGTTGGTTTTTTTTGTCTTTATATGATATAGGGAAAAGAACTGTGTTATTGTTAATCGTTTATTTTCAAAGACGAAAATAACTTATAAGATGATCTAATCATCACGCATAAATGTTTATTGCGTATGTGTTTTTTTGGGGTGTAACAAAATTGGCCAATCACCCAACATATTCACTATCTTATTATGCACTATTGTAAGGAATGAAGGAAAAAAAATTCATCGTAATATTATTGCTAGCCTTTCATTATAAGACCTTTGTGTACTTTGGTTTTTACTCTATAGGACAACATATTAATAACAAGAAAATAGCCATATATTACATCTGGATGTTCGTATATCCTTTGTCAATTCGTCAACGAATGTTTATAGTTATTGATGAAGTCTATATGCTTGATGTTGTTTTTCTTCTTCTTTTTTTTCTATTGCTTAAGAAGAATTGTTATACGTCGCCAAAAGACGTAAACACACGAGTATTAATACAAAAGAACGAGCAAGTAACACTTCGTCTTATTGTCGCGTCTTCAGCAATCCACGAATAAAAACATTTCTATCTTGATGAATTAAGCTTCTTCTTTTCTTTCGCTGATGTAATCTACCATGAGCGTAGTCTTTTTTGCGTCTATGATTTTCCGTCTTTTACAATCATGTCATTTATTTGAGTCATTATCTAAAGGTTGCTTTTCTTTCCCTTTCTTTTTTCTTTTTTTTTTTTAAATTCATCATGACATTGCATAAGAATCTTGTCATATTTTTTTTAATCACATCAAAATAGTATATAGATATGTATATATCTATCTATCAGTGATCGGTTTTTACTGCATTACTCTCGTTCTTTCTTTTTATTTTCTCTCGTCATCTATTTCTCGGTGCAATTTAATTTTTGCAATGTATGTTATATATAAGTGCGATTTTTTTAATCAGTTACTTTTATTTTTCAGATTATATATTAGTTGAATTAATATTCTTAGTGAATATTGACGAAACGTCTTGTTAATATTCCATGACTACAATTGTTGACGGTGAAAATACACCGAAACAAAAGGTAAATATATCTTTTAAATTAATTTAATATAATATTTGATTCATCTTTCTTTTTTTTAGACCGAATACGTGCACGACTGCACGACTCGGGGCGAATATTGCCGAGCACAAGATTGACTAGTACGCTATTTAAATAAATATAATTATTATCGATATTATTCATATCGATATTGTTCTAATAAATTTGATTGGTGTCTTATATCAACAAAAATTCGAGATTAGTAACAAAAGAAAAACAACAACACAAAAAGAAATTCTATTAAACAAAAAATAAAAATAAAAATGCCTATGGAACATGATTTTACTTATCCATCAGTAACAGAAATTCGATATAAAACTTATCGTTTTCTTATTACTGATAGTCCAGATGATGAAAATATTCAATCATTTATTGAAGTATATCTATATATATATATATGAATGAAAATGAAACTATATTTTGTCTTTTTTTTTTTTATCATAGACTTTTTTAAAATATGGTGTTACAGCATTAGTAAGAGTTTCAGAAAAAACTTATGATTCAAAACTAATTGAAGCAGCTGGTATTAAATTTTATGTATGTTTTATTAAATTTTATAATGAATTACATAGATTTAATTCATTTTTTTTGTAGCATCTTGAATATCCAGATGGAAGTGCACCTGATTCATCAGTTCGTAAGAAATGGTTGAATATAGTTAAAGAAAATAAAAATGGTTGTATTGCTGTGCATTGTATTCATGGTCTTGGACGGTTTGTTAATTTAATAAAGATTTTTATTTATTGTTTTATTCTAATATAGATCACCTGTTCTTGTTGCAATGGCTTTACGTGAAGCAGGAATGAATCCACAAGAATCAATTGATTTTGTTCGTAAACGTCGACGTGGTTCATTTAATATACGTCAATTAGAATTTCTTCAAAAATATCATTCAGATCATCGTCTTATTGATAAACATGTAGGTTGTGTTATTATGTAATACGATTTTTTTTTTCTTCATATTTTCTCATGTATATATATTTTTTTTGCCTACATTTGGTTTTTTTTTCCTCATTTTTTGATTGATTTTATCTATCATGTAGATAAAATGATTCTATTCAAGGAATTGTTTTACATGTATGAATTTAGTCTTTTCTTTTTTTTTTTTTTGTTTTATTAATTCATGCCATTTATGACAAATATCTTTAATAATAATAAATATTCAAGTACAAAAAAAGAAAAAACATTATTCCATTCGAACGGAAATCTATCAAATATCTGTGATAATTACGCTATATTAAATATTGTTTCATTGACTTTGTGAAATAGAATAGAGCATAGAAGTAGAATTTTGGACCTATGCCCTTTGCCAGGCCATAAGAAACATTCTTCTGAAATAGTTATAGAAAATGACAGATGTTGTTGATATAGGACAACAGACAGTATATCAATAATATAATCGTTCTAGTGATAATGAGTGGTCCATAAAAAATAGGTCTTTTACTATTTTCGATATTTCTTAGCAGCTCTTCTACATAATAGGGACAATTCTTGTTGTTTTTTGATTGATTAATCATTCGATTCTTCACAAATTTGCGTATATAATTAAGACAAACTAACATATCTTATTTGTTAAGAATCAATAAAATGAATAGATTCAGAATATGTTACTTTTAAAATTCTTTTTTTTTTTTATTTGTGTCAAAATTTTTGCATACATTTTCTTATAAATACTTTTGTTAGCCTTTCTCTTAATCATAAAAAAGAAAAAATCAATCAATTATTTGTCTGAAATTAATTCTAAAGAAATTTTCACAAGAATTGAAGAAATAATTATTCGAACAAATATCTATTATTATTAATTGGATATGACATGAATTCCTACAAGTTCTGTGAAACTTTGTTTTATATTCTTGTACTGTTGACCTCATAGAAGACAAAGTTGGGTGCAAAAAAAGTTAATCAAAAAGTGAATTATTTTGAATCTATTCGTTTCTTTGAGTCTATACAAATAAGGAATACTGTTCTGTTTAAATGAAAGATGCAAACTTCCCAACAATTCAAACAAAGAATTTAGTTTAAAAATTTCTTCTTTCATATTGAAAAGTATTCAAAATACTGTGAATCCATTTGTTATAAACCATTAGTTACATAAACTATTTATTTGATTTGTAAAAAATTAAGTAAAAGAATAGAAAATAAAACTATCTTTCTATGATTATCAACAAAAATTAGATCATGCTTTACATTTTAACCTCGCACGAAAATTGTACGAAGAATTTGTTGATTGGGTTAAAAAAAAGTATAATATTGTAAAGCCATTATTTTGTCGTATGACTAAAACACATTAGTACATATATAGTTTCATGTAATGATATATGTATAGACGTCTGTTTTTAACTAAGGATTCTAGAAAAATGTCATATACAAGACTAATATTAATAACGGTTTTTTTTTTCTGAGAGATTTCAATTCTTATTAATGTCACTCGTACCTTTGATTTATCTTTCATGAAACAAAAAAAACGACATATGTTAGTGAAAGAATAGAGTAGGTGTGAATGAAAATGACACTGTACTCTTATTTAATAAAAAAAGTTATCCTTTTCAATTTGACCCAGGTTTTTATCCATCAAAATATACAAATGTTTATAAGTACTGTCAAATATATGATTTAAATGAAAAACTTCTTTTTTACATTGTTGATAAGGATTGCATGATTAACATTGATTATTTGTAATTATTATCAATTCATAATAATAATAATAATGCTTCTCTAATAAGTCATAATGAATAATTAATATGAGTTATTATAGAATAAGTTAAATAATAAGAATTTCAATTTTATTTTATTTTCTAATATTTAATGTTTTCTAAAAATCAGATCTTTAGTTTATTGTGTTTGTTAAGTTTATTATAGTAAAATTTTCATTTATAAAAAATACAGAAATATAATAACATAACTTATAATTCATTTTTACAAGATTATTATTTTTTTTGTTTTAAATATTTAAAATAAAACTAAGAAATTGATGTCGATAAAGTTAAAAAACTAATAAATACAAGAATTTGAATCATTTTTCAAATTTTAATAAACGATGAAAACGTCTTCGAATAAAAAAAACAAAATTGTCGATATTTCTTAACAAGAAAACATCAAATCGATTTGGTTTGGATTTTTTTTTTTGTCCTAAGAATTGAGAGTGTATGCGAGAGCATTTTTTAGACCCATCTTCGATAAAAAAAAGGGCACAATCTCAATAATGGATTGTAAAAAATTATCATTCATTCTGCAAAAATTCTTCCGACACAATATCTGCTTTTTATTTACACTTCATTAAACATTTACATTCCAACAACAGAAATAGGAATTTTTCGATTAATAACATAATCAAAACTTAACTCTAAAGAAATAATTTAATAATATTTGATTCGAATTTTACAACAGATAATATTGCAAAAAATTTTCATTATATTAAATCTATTTTAATAACTAAACTTTATTTTTTTTTTTTTGCAAATAGAAACATAGTTCGACTAGGTCAAATGTTAAGAAATAAATCTCGATAATTTTTCAAGGCAGGCACGTACAGAAGGAGGAGCGGCACGGGGATCGGGTCTCCCCATCAGGACTGAAAACGCCTGTAGGGGGAGGTACAGGTAGACGTTTTTTCCCCCAGTGAATTTTTTCATGGTGGGCCCTTCCCTCAGAAAATTTCTGCGTACGTCCCTGTTTCAAGGATTTATATTTAGCTTATTGTATCTCAAATATTTATATTACTTAATAATAATAATAACTACTTATAATTATAATATACTACTAATAAAACTATTTTAAACATTCATGATAATATAACAGATTCTGATTACATCGTTTCTTCGAAATAACTCTAGTTATACAGATAAATATATAGTTATGTAGCAAGATACTTATTTGTTTTATCAGGTGTTTATCTTCTGTCATACTAATGTTCGATCTATGTATTGTATTAGTATGTACAGTTGTTTATATAAAATGCCTACAAAACCAAAAAGTAGGAATTTTGCTTTCTTTTCTAACGGTTTTATGCTACATTAAACAAATCTAATCTACATATTTTTTTTGTGTTGATAATTATTTGACAGCTAGAAAAACAAATGTCTTATTATGAAATCAAAGATTAATATAAATTCAATATATCATATTCTTTATTATTGAAAACAAAAAACTAAATAAAATAATTTAAATTCTAAAAATAAAAAAAAAACCTTCTTTCAAATATCAAAAGAATTATGATTGACGTCAAAGGAAAAAAAAAACAAAACATTACAAGAATTATCAATTTAACATATTTCTTATAATTATAGATAATAAGTTATACGCTTTTTTTAAATAATTCATTTCTCACAAAATTGAAGATATTTTTCTTTTTTCGTTTTTCAAAATTCATTTTGAGTTTTTAAAAAAATGACAAACAAGAAAAGTCTCTATCGCCTAAAGAAATTTAATACCAGTCAACAATTTATCAACGATAATATACCTAATAATAAGTTGATTAACTAACAATTGAGATTAGTACAAATATAAAAATTAATAATTAAAGAAAAATTTCATAACAACAAATAATACTAATTGATCATATTTTGATCTTCTTTCTATCTCGATTAATTTATCAAATCATTTGATCAACTATTTATTTCAAAAAAAAAAATTTTTTTTTCTATTAACTAACATTGTATAATTTTATTCTTTGTTCATAAATCATAGTTTTTTTTTTTTGTTTATACATCTATTATAGTAAGTTATTTAATGAAAAAAAAGGAAGTACATGTAGATCTAATTTGTTTTGTTCATTATCAATCGGAAATAAAAGTTAATATAATAATAATCTATGTATATTGTAGTTAGTATGAATAGTTTTTTTCTTTCTTTATATACTTATAAAGGTTAGTATAACTTTTCATATGTATAGAATATTACAGTTAAAATATATCAAGCAGATTAAAACGAACAACTGCTGTCACTATATACTAATCTATAATATAACGTATGGATAGACGAATGATGGGTAGAGAGATGTTAGCTTATTCTCTCATCAATTCATAGCAGAACTTCTTTTTTTTTCCCTGCTTTCATATGGCCTTATTCTCATAAATAATAAGATATACATCAGACAAGCAAAGATATCGTTCTCGGTTTTCTTTTTTTTTTTTTTGCTTGTATTTATCCAACGAGAAACAAAGTAATAAAGAAACAAAAAATGGTCGTATGAATACAACGGTATCTTTCTCTGTCTTTTAGTCTACTATGTATTCTATTCTGAAAAGAAACAATTCTTTTACGGCAAATATTGTTCGACCAAAATATATCTTTATATATATATTTAGCTTATTTTTAAGTGTCTATCTCATTTACTTTTGATATATAAGAATAAAAATAAATTTTGTTTTTAGTAATAATGTTCAATTAATAAGTATCATTAATATTGATTAATGATACTAAGTTTTTTTTTGTTTTTTTTTGCAAAGAAGAACAATTCGAATTGTTATTATTGTTGTTCTTGTTTTCTAATAATGATATTGTTATCTAATAAGAGACTAAGCAGATATCATATGTTGTGTCTATGATTTTTTTTTTTGTGTCTGAATGCCGCCGATAATCTAAACCTTTAGGTAATAACAGCAGTAAACGTTTAAGACCTCTAACTACTATTATCTCTCGTTATATTCTATCGTAGTTATTTATCCTTAAAACTTTTTCTTATCATTGAGTTGACGAACTATATCCATGGTTGTATTAGACTAATGAAAATATAATAGATCAAATATAAAGAAAAAAGTAAGAAAATTATGTTGTTTTTTTTTTTCTATTAATTATAGATTCGAATGATCATAATAATAATGATGATATAAAGAATTATATATATATATAGATAAAATGGCTGATGAACAAATAATGGGTGCTGAAGCTGATGATATTCAGTTTATACGCACGGTAATAAAATTTTTTATTTTTATTTTTTTTTATTTAAATAAATATAATTCTAGGAAGATCATATATGTTTAAGTTGTGTACCTATATCAAGTGTAAAACGTATGGCATTATCAGGTGAAGCATTTGGAAATCGAATGTGTTATCTTGAAGATATATCAAATGAAGTAGAATATCATAGCTAAAAAGAAAACTCAATTTTTATATTCGATTTAGGTTTGTTGTCCTGATGTTGCATCATGTGTATTTGCATTGGAACAAGCTGTATCAGTACGAGCTTTACAAGAAATGGTTAATACAACTTCAACTGAACAAGTAATAAATTTAACAAAAATAAAAATATAGAAATAAAAATAACTTTTTTTTTTTGTTAGTCATCAGCAACTCAAGGTGGACAAACTTTTAGAACATTATTATATGGTCATGCAGTTCTTCTTCGACATTATCGTAGTCAAATGGTAGAATTTTTAAATTTAAAATTTTATTCTTTCAAAAAAAAAAAAATTAATCTTTGATCATAGTTTATTCGAATCTCGGAAGAACAAAAAAAATTATACTAAAATTTTTATGTCATAACCTTTTCGAGACATATTAAACAAACAAAGGTCAAAAATAGTTTATTTGACTAATTATAATTCTCTATCGACTTCCAATTAAAACACTTAATTCTTTTATATTTAAAAGGTCATATCAGAATGTATTGTTATATTCTAAAAAGTCTTACTTTTTATGCGAAAATCATCATCAAATTTAGTAAAAAAAAAAAAAAACGATATGCCACAAAAAATCATATCCTAGACTATCATCTCATTTTTGATTTTTCTTAATAGAAACTTAACAAAAAAAACATAAATATGTTATATAAATTGTTTTTTTTTTTTTAGTATTTGAGTTGTTTATCAACTAGTACATCTAATGACAAACTTGCTTTTGATGTCGGTTTAAAAGAAGATGCACAAGGTAAATATATAAATTTAAAAAACACAAACATATGTTTAATATAATAAATCATTTTTTCTCAGGCGAATCTTGTTGGTGGACCATTCATCCAGCATCAAAACAACGAAGCGAAGGCGAAAAAGTGCGCTTTAATGATGATGTTATTTTAGTTTCAGTTTTTTCTGAACGTTATCTCGTAAGAAACTTTAGTTTTTTTTTTTTTTCTAAAAAAACTCTTTGTTATTTGTTTTGTTTAGCATGCCTATATGTCAACAAGTGAACGTGGTCGAGTTAATGCATCATTTCGTCAACAAGTATGGAGTCTTGTACCAGTATCGAGTGGTGTAGCACGTGTAAAAAATCCAGGTTTGGAAAAAAAAAAAATATATATGATTAAGTATATAAAACAAATATTTTTTATTGAAAAAAAATTAGGATTTGTTCTTGGTGGTGATGTTTTGAGATTAATGCATGGTAATATGGATCATTGTATAACAACACCACCACCATCAGAATCACAAACAACGGATGATTCTGGAAGGTAATTTATTTTATTAGAATTGTTTTTGTTTTGAAAGTTTACAAAAACAAAAAAAATCAATTGAGATATTTTTATATGGATCGATGCAATGATAGTCTACAAGAATATATAGAAATATTGAGAGAATAAATCGTTGTCAAAAATTTATTATCACTAAAAGCATCAAAGAGAGTATCTGACTTGAGTCGGGTCATGAAAGGAATAATTGACCTTAGTTTAGGTCGATTAGATGTTTATTCAAGATTTCTTTGAAAGCTTTATTAAGTGTTAGTATTGGATATGTAGGTGTTGTCGCTTCTGTTTATTCTATATCTTTTGCGTTGATACTTAATTAAGTATCCTGGAACATCCGTAGAAAAGATTAGTATAATCGGGTCAGATCTGCAATCTAAATATTTTGTACATGAAAAAAGCATTTTTGAATATATATATTTTTTTAAAGGTCTATGAGAAAGTGTGAAAAACTTAGTAGAACAAGAAATTGTATATACAACACGATTTTTTCTTATATTTCACTGAGTTTTGTTTTTTATTGATATTAGACTATGTGATGTATAGCAAGTGCTTTATCTATTTAATGATGATAGATAAATCGCAGGTTGTATATAGAAGAACAGATAGAAAACAAGAATAAATTTTACCAGATAATATGATTATCTTAACTATCGAATATTGGTGAAAGATCAAGGGTATATAAATTATTTTCAACTAGGAAATAAAAAAAAAAACGATTAAGAAAACTGATCTCGATGCTAGAATTCGATTCGAATCACAAAGCTTGAACTCATGCCGAACGTTGGTGGGATTAACAGAACAAAAAGTTGCTGAAGAGTTTCAACCTTCTAAATATGTCTGTAAAAAAGACGATGGAGATCTTCGCATAATGCATTTAAAGAAAATTTAAGCCCTCTCCCTCTTCAGACAAAGTCAGTTTTTGTCAAATTCATCAATTTTTTTGATTTATAACTCGTTAGATAGAGCAAAGTGTCTACTCTCGAATGCACTATATTTGATTAATTTTATGACGAGCTTTAAGAATATTACATAAGTTTTTCTGAACCTCCATATTGAAAAAAACAAGGCTTTTAGAAACTTATTTTCCTTTTTTTCGAGTATACTGTTTGCGTGTGCAAACCTTACTCAATAACAACTCAATATAGAAGTGATAATTTTTTTTTATTGCATAGAGGACAGTTAGGGCTAGATTCTCATAGAGCCTGATTTTTAAATTTCTCTATTGGCAAAATCAGAAACTTAGATATCTCATTTTTATCAGCGAATTTTTCGGCGAAGATTTTTTTATAGAACAAACAAAAAGAATTTCAAAAATCAAGCTCTATGAGACTCTAGCGCTAAGAATATTCTACAACTTAAAAACATCCGCGCCATGTTAGCTCGTATCCTGATTGTGAAAACCTTCTCCGCGTACAAGGTATTTTTGACCAATAAATTGACTATAACTGATGAAGATCTCGTAGATTTGAGAAGGTATTTTAACCATAATCTACTCTAGTCAAGACTAACATTCTCTGAAATTTTGATTGAGTTCCAAGGGAAAAATAAAAAAGTTCGTTTGTGAGGGCGAGGGGGCCCTTAAGCGAAATTCCATTGTGGGTAGATGGACTAAGCTCTTTTAGCTTGGGCGTTCACAGGACATTTTTTTGCTCGCTTTTACTTTGTATGAAGATTATGATGTAGTAACTTGTCTATTTTAGTTTATTTATCAAAAGTGGTGCTGCTTGTCAACAAGCTCGATCATTATGGCGTATTGAATGTTTTAAAATCAAGTAGAATATATAAAAATTAAAAAAAAACCATTTGAAATTTCTTTTCTTTTCTTTTTTTTAAAGATGGTACAGTGGTTTTGTTGGTTGGAGTTCATTAGTTCGCCTTCGACATATTACATCTGGTCTTTATTTAGCTGTTATTACTGATGAAAACGGTAAAAGTAAAATTCTTTTGAAGATTTTGTTTTTTAGAAAAGAAATTTTAGGTCCAAAAGTAACTCGTATACCAAAGAAGAATGCAAGTCCTATGGCAATAACATTTGAAATGAAAATGTCAAAAGTAAATAAATAAAAGATTTTAAAAAAAAAACGAAAATCTTGTTTTTTTTTTTTCATAAAAGGAAAAACAAGTCGAAGAAAATCAAGAAGAAGATAATTTAGGTGTACCAACAATAAAATATGGTGAAACAATTGTTTTTATACGTCATGTTGATTCTGATCTATGGATTAGTTATGAAACACTTGAACTAACTATAAAAGGCATTGGAAAAGTTGAAGAAAAACGAGTAAAAGAGTACCAAAAAAAAAAAAATATTATATTATTTTTCTTATTTTATTAGATTATTCCAGCTATTGAAGGTCATATGGATGATTGTTTTAGACTTGTACGAGCTCAAGAAGAAGAACAAAAAACAGCTTTAGTTATTCGTATATGTAATGCTATTCTTGGAAGATTTAATCGAAATGAGTAAAAAAAAAAGATCGAATAAAATAAATATGATTTATTATTTTTCTATTTAAGTTCAATATCATTTGATTCTGAAGCAATAAATCATTTATTAAGTAAAAGTGATGTTATACAAGCACTTTTACATGATTTAATTGGTTTTTTTTCACAACCATCATCATCACTTGATCATGAAGAAAGACAATTACGTCTTAAAATTTTACGAAATCGACAAGATTTATTTCAAGAAGAAGTAAACAAAAATAATTTTGAAATATTCAAGTTTATTAATTGAATTTGGTTTTTTTCTTTTTTGTTAAGGGAATGATTCGTATATTAATAGCAGCAATAAATTTTTTTAGTGAACGTCGAGATAAATCAACATTATTAGAAGGTGTTGATGAAAAAATTGAAGATATTACAAATAAACTTTATGTTGTTTTGGCTGCATTAATTAAAGGTAATCGTATTAATTGTTCAAATTTTGCTCAAAGTGCTCGACTTAATTGGCTTGTTAATCGTTTACAATCACAACAAGCATCAAGTGGTGTATTAGAAGTACTTCATAGTGTACTTGTTGATAGTCCAGAAGTATTAAATATGATTACTGAATCACATATACTTGCAAGTAAATTAAAAAAAAAAACTAAAATTAAGTATATATTATATATATATATATATATTTATTAATTTTAGTTATTGGATTACTTGATAGAAATGGTCGTGATCCAAAAGTACTTGATGTTCTTTGTTCACTTTGTGTTAATAATGGTGTAGCTGTTCGTGCTAATCAAAATCTTATTTGTGAAAATCTATTACAAAGACGAGATCTTCTATTACATACGGCATTAGTTGATCATGTTACATGGTAAAGAAAGAAATTTTTATTGAGAATCTAAACATTTGGTTTTTTTTTCGATGTCTAACAAAACAAAAAAAAACTTTGAGAAAAAACTATTGTTATCGAATACTAGCTTTTATTAATATGAAACGGCCTAAATTATCATTCAAATGCAAGGAATAGTCACTGTTATTATAACCGATAAAATTGTCAATTTCGATAATGATATTCTAAAACTGTTTCTATTTCGATCTACGTCAGACCGACATTCTTAGTTTATTTAATTCGAGAGTGGTAGATCATCCACAAAAGTAGCTACTTAGCCTTAATTGATCATAATGGCAAGGAAACATTGATTAGATAAAAAGCCTAAAAGAATTTCGACAGACAGCTTTTCTTGTGGGAGTTATGGCCGTTTTACTGAAATTTTACTTATAGATAAGTCTATTAGTCATTAGAATTACCTGAATGTTTCAGGCAAAATGAATGTTTCTTTCTCGAGATATTGAATTTTGCCAGAAATAATCACTTTTCACAGATAGGTCATACAAATCGAATGTATTTGAAAATTCAATATCTCGAGAAAGAAACATTCGCTTTGGCTAATAGATCTATATCTATAGGCAAAAGTTCAGGTCGAAATTCTTGATTTCAAGTTTTTTTTTTCGGAAATCCTTTCCCACAAGCCTAAAAGCAAAGCCGTTGGTAGAACTTCTTTTAGGCTTCTTATTTTCTTGGGGTTCACTATCGAATAATATATCAATGAACAATATTGTTATCTTAATATTTCTAAAATTTCATAATCAACCTCTATTTAACGAGATAGTCAACAAAGCATTTCGAACTTAAAAAAAAAGAACAAATATCAATAATAAAAACTACGGGTGTCTATGATGTTTCTAAAACAAAAAAAAAGTTTTATTTTTTTTTTGTTTAGTATGCGTCCAAATATTGTTGTTGGCGTTGAAGATGGTGAATCTATGTATAAAAAATGGTATTTTGAAGTTGTTATTGATCATATAGAACAAGTAACACATGTTCAACCACATATACGTATTGGTTGGGCAACAACACATTTTCAACCATCACCTGGTCATGGTGATGGATTTTCATCAAATGGTATTGGTGATAATACATATTCATATGGTTTTGATGGTCAAAATATATGGTTTGCTGGTCGTGCCTATGATGTATCAAATACTGATATAAAACAAATAGGATTTAAAAAAAATGATGTTATTGGATGTTTATTAGATTTAGATATACCTGAAATGTGGTTTTCATTAAATGGTTTACCTGTTAAAGGTCTTATAAGAGAATTTAATTTAACTGGTATGTTTTATCCAGCTATATCATTATCATCTCGTGTCAGGTTTGATAAATTTCAAAAATAAAATAAATAAATAAATGAATTTTTAAAAATTTTGTTTTTTTTTAGTTGTCGATTTATATTTGGTGGTGAACATGGTCGTTTTATGCATCGACCACCTGAAGATGTAGCACCACTTTATGAAGCTATGTTAATTAAACAAAAAGTTTGTATTGAACCATGTTTTTCATTTGGTAATATTGAACGAAATTGTCTTAATGGTCCATCACATATTCAACATAATATTGCATTTACACCACAACCCGTAGGAACAAATCATATTGTTTTACCTTCATATCTTGAAAATATATGTGATAAATTAGCAATGAATACTCATGAATTATGGTGTATGAATAAAATTGCTAATGGTTGGCGATTTGGTGAAGTAAACAAAATTTCTTTTCTTTATTTTAATAAAATAAAATAAAATAGAATCTTTTCTTTTTCTTTTTCTCCATTTTAAGTTTCGAGATGATACACAAAAAACAAATCCATGTTTAACATCATTTGAAAATCTTCCATCTGAAGAAAAAAAACATAATCAAACAACAATAATTGAAAATTTAAAAAGTTTATTAGCATTTGGTTATCATATTGGTATGGAAATAAAAACGGATGATCGTCGTTTAAAATATATTAAATTACCAAATACATATGTACAAACAAATGGTTATAAACCTCAACCATTAGATTTATCAAATGTTAATTTATCTACTAAAATGGATGATTTAATTGAATTATTAGCTGAAAATACACATAATGTTTGGGCAGCAGCTAGAATTAAAGATGGCTTTACTTATGGTGTATCTGATGTAAGTTGAATATATTATAGGAAATCTTATATTTTGTATTCAACATGTATTTTAAACTATAATTCATATAAAGATCTGTGAACGATACCTATAGGCAGGCTCCGCAAAAGTGGGGGTGTACACCTCCCCCCGCCCCCAATGATCGACAATTATTCATTGTTAGCCAGCAAAATTAATAAAGTTTTTGGAATTTTCCCCTAGAAAATTCTGAAAAGATGTTAAAACTTTTCGCTTCGCGAAAAAGTAATCACGTGAGCGTACTCGCCCTAAAAATATCTGTGATTTTTTCGCTTTTATGGCAAGTGTACTGCTGTCTTCCTTTTGAAGAGCTTCATTTTCGACGTAGCCGCCTTCGGTGACAAAATTGCTAAAAGTTATTGTAACACTTTTCCTTTCGAACAACATAAGGATAAGAAGAGTTGTTCATGAGTCTGAAAAAAGTTTTCGCTTCGTGAAAAATAACAATTGTGTAACCGCAGTTAGCTTAGAAAAATTTCCTACTTTAGTCAATGTTTTCTTCAAAACAGCTTAATTTAGAACGATTTTCACCAGAGTGATCGCCTTCGGCAACAAAAGTATTGAGAAATTTTCTCAAATTGGACACGAGTTCTCTTGAAAATTTGCCAGAGAAAGTTGATTTTTTTAAAGAAGATGGCAAAAACTTGTCGCTTCGCGAAAAATTGTTACATTTTGGTCGCAACAGAAAGATTATCTCAGATATGATGCAAAACAAATTTTGCGTCTCTCAATATTGGCTGCTTCGAAACTCCCTTACATCCCCACAATCCTGGGACTCTCGCGCGGGGCCTGCCTATAGGATAGAGGATAGAAAATAATCCATTGCCACAAACATATCACAAAAATTGAGTATCTTAGCGGATGAACATTCTTTTCAGCTGTTTACTTTTAGTCTTAATAGGAAAGATACTTTCTATGATCAAAAGTAATTTCTCATAATTTTCGATGATTTGTAACCAGTTCTTTTTGTTTTTGTATAGAATCCTCATCATAAACGAAGTCCATATTTACTTCCATATTCAATAATTGATGATAGTATTAAAAAAATAAATCGAGATACAGCAAGTGAAACAGTTCGAACACTTCTTGCTTATGGTTATACAATTGATACACCAACAGGTGATGTTGAAGATCTTAATCGACGTAATAAAGATATTAAAAATATTGAACCAATGTCAAATTATCGAACATATCGTGCTGAAAAAACATTTGCTGTTACACGTGGTAAATGGTATTATGAAGTTGAATTATTAACAACAGGTCGAATATTAATTGGATGGGGACATGCATCAAAATTAAATGCATATTGTCCACTTGGTACAGATTCATATGGTTATGCATTTGATGGTTTAAATTCAAGACGTTTTCATCATAATACATATGATAGATTTGGTAAACAATGGACAAAAAATGATATTGTTGGTTGTATGATTGATTTACATGATAAAACAATAAGTTTTTCATTAAATGGTGAATTAATGTTAGATAATTATGGTAATGAAACAGCTTTTGATGGACTTGATATTGATGATATTGGTTTTGTACCAGCATTAACATCATTTAGTGGACAAAAAGTTCGATTAAATTTTGGACAAGATGTACATTCATTAAAATATTTTACATCTTGTGGTTTACAAGAAGGATATGAACCATTTTGTGTGTAAGTTTTAATAGAAACAAAAAAAAAAAATCAAAAAAATTTGTATCTTTTTTAGAAATATGTCAAAAAATTTAACATTTTGGTATTCAAATTTTATTTCTCATTTTATACCAATTCAATCAAATTCATCATCATTTGAAGTTATTCGAATTGGTGCAAGGTATATAATATAATAAATAGATTTGTCTCTTATGTTACGATCTCATCTATCATAGATATATTTGACGTGTAAGGATATTTTTGTACATATATTTTTACAAAGAATATTGATTAGTATTAATTGACAGCAAACAGATTTTATGATACAAAAAAAAGAGTGTCTAGTAAATTTTGCATTAAACTTTTAATAAATCTATGATTAAAACTTGATATATTTATATAGAACTGTTATTCGATTGAATATTAATCTTCAATATTTTTTATAACATAATCATTGATATGTCATTTTCTATTTAGTAGAAATTTGTAATGAATAATGTTTGATATCGAGAATAATTTCTTTCGAAGGACAACAAATATTTTCTGCTTCATGGTAATTGTTATAGTTCTATAAAGGTTTGATATGCTTTAATGAAATCCATAATATGGATTATTGAAAATAGCATTACAAAATGAGAAATTCGTTGATCCTCAAAATTCTTCTTTATTTTGGTTATAATGTTCTAAAGAAGATTAATTACCATCTATTAATTATTCTACTTGTACTTGAACAATCTATACAAGGTCATATGTTTAATCAACATTACTCTAGACATGTAAAATCTATAGTAGTTGAGATTGAACAGATATTAGTTTATTTTTATTTTTTTAAATTAATCAATATTATTTTTATTTTGGTAATATAGTCGTGATAATCCACCAATAATAAAACTTCAATCTCGATTATTTGGAACATTTGAAAAAGTTGACTTTGAATTTTTACGTTTATCACTTCCTATATCATGTCATGATAAATTTGTACCTAGGTAATTTTTTTTTTGTTTTATTTAATTTTCACTTTTTTTTTGTTAAATAAAAGACAAGTAACTCTTGACCGACGTCAAATGATTTTAAATGAATATCTTGAATCTCATGGTGAAAAAAATAATTTTATATTTCTATCTAAACCTACAACATTATCATCAAATGAACAAACAGAAACTTCATTAACAAATGGATCTATATCTGATCCAACAAATTCACTTGTTAAATTTATTGATCAATCAACATCAAAAAAAAGTCCATCATCACCACGAAATATAAATAAATCAAATATAAAATCATCAACAAATAAATTTAATAGTTTTTTTCAATCATTATTAAAAGATCAACAACAACAACAACAACCTACAAAACGTATGGTTACATTAAATACAGATATAAATACAACAAATATAAATCAACAAAATCAAATACAATCTACATTAAAATCACCAATAAAATCATTGAATAATTCTATGGGAAGAAAATCAACAATTGAAAATGATATAGAATTTATTGATCAACAAACAAATGATTATGAAGATGATATGCGTATAATAAATGAACATGTTCATGAATATTATTATTCAATAAGAATTTTACCTGGACAAAATCCACGTTCAGTATTTATTGGTTGGGTTACATCAAGATTTAAACCTATTAATCGACAATATGATACAAGTTTAAATAAATTAACTAAACTTATTCGATATTGTACAATAACACAAACTGGAAATGATGGTTCAATAGTTGAAAGTATACGACGACAAGATGCTTATATGTTTTGTGCAAGTGATTTATTAGATAATATGAATGATAAAGAAAATGTAACAAGACGTGTTGTTAATGGTTTATTAATTGGATGTTTATGTGATGTATCAACTGGACAATTAACTTTTTATGTTAATGGTAAAGAATCAACACAAAAATTTCAAGTATGTTTTTATTTACAATTATTATTGTTGAATAGATCATTATGAAAAATTAAATTCAAAATTTATATTTTTAATTCTATCGAAATCTAACCATCGGATTCATGCTTTCGAGTTCCTATCATTGCTTTGAGCTTTTCGATAGGTTTTCGCTGGAAACAAAACAATTAGGGAAGTGGATTCATTCGTCTCGGATATTAATTACGTCCATAAGAAAGTATTGGACTAAATTACTGCAATATATAGATAACAGAATGTTTTCGAGCTTGCAAATAAACTGTTTTCAGATGTTCGTTCGCCTTTGGATTAAAACTACAGGGTGTAACATAACCATTACGCCCCCCCCCTCCCCTTCTACAACTTAAAGTATAAATGATATCAAAGAGTTTTATATACCAGATTAATGCTCGTCAAAAACTGGATTTATGGGTATAATTAATAGATTTTAGAACAATTATTGCCGATGAAATTACTGAAATGTATGTCGAAATGCGCTCGTATTTTACGATTTTCATTCTTCATGTAGATATTTTCACCAATAATAATAGCAGATTCGTAATCTCCATAAAAAACTGCATCTATAGACATGTCATTTGTATCTTTTTGACGAAAAAAATTTTTTTCAAAAATCCTGAGGAATGCGCATTTTATGCCTAAAATACACGCCAGGCAAGGTTTTTGAAAAAATTTTTTTTCGTCAAAAAGATACAAATGACATGTCTATAGATGCAGTCTTTTATGGAGATTACGAATCTGCTATTATTTTTGGGTGAAAATATCTACATGAAGAATGAAAATCGTAAAATACGAGCGCATTTCGACATACATTTCAGTAATTTCATCGGCAATAATTGTTCTAAAATCTATTAATTATACCCATAAATCCAGTTTTTGACGAGCATTAATCTGGTATATAAAACTCTTTGATATCATTTATACTTTAAGTTTTAGAGTGGGGACGTAATGGTTATGTTACACCCTGTATATATATATATCATAGCGACCATAGAATAGGCTCAATAATCTTTATAATTCAGGTCAATAATGATAGAACTTGGAAGCGAAAAATCGGTCGCAGGATGTCTTCTTTACATTACAAAATGTTTGATTTTCATATATCAGGACAGAAGTATCTAAGGGACTTTACAAATGACCTTGAAGGAATGTAATCATTTTATAATAAAAGAAATATTATAAAGATACTTTTTCGCAGTAGCAATAAACGAGAGATATGAACTCTTTTTAGAATATTCAAAGCTCATTATAATGTGCATAGTCTCGATTCTATTGTTAATTGAGACTTAGAAATGTTTCTACCGCTAGTAAAGAAAACATTTGTTAAATTACAAATCTAACAATGATCATTATTCTATTTTCTTCTTGTTTACAAATCGTTTGTAATAAACTTTCGATTTTCATATGTTACAAACCCATAATAAGTTCTACTTACATATTTTCCTTTAGATTTATTTGAAAATATTGAATTATAGAATAATAAATTTGAATGATCTAAAAAAAATTATTTTTAATTTTCAGGTTGAACCAAGTACTAAACTTTATCCAGCTGTATTTGTTGAACCAACAGTTAAAGAAGTATTACAATTTGAATTAGGACGTATTAAAGTAAGAAATAAATAAAATAAATTTAAAATAATTTTTTTTGTTTCATAGAATTGTTTACCATTAACTGCTGCTTTATTTCCAAGTTTAAATCGTGAAGAACGTTTTATACCTCAATTACCATCTCGTTTACATTTACAATCTCTTGTTCATTGTCATTGGTCACGTGTACCAAATACAAATATACGTTGTCAACAATTAAAATTATCTGAAATACGTGGTTGGAGTGTATTTGTTGAAGATCCTGGTAGATAATATTTTTTTTTTCTTTTCTATTATAATAATTATCTTGTTTTATTATAGTTCAAATGGAAGCAGTTTATATTCCTGAAGAAGATCAATGTACAGATATATTAAGTTTAGTTGAAAATGAAGATAATTTAAAGTATTTATTAAATAAAAAAAAAATTGTTTTTTTTGTTAAATTAATATTTAAATATATTATTTAGTTTTTGTTCAAATACATTAAGATTATATAATGCATTATGTGCTCAAGGTAATAATCGTGTATCACATGAAATATGTAAATTTGTTGATGAAAAACAATTGATGTATTGTGTAAAAAATCCATGTAAGTTAAATTAAAATATAATTATTTTAAAATCAAATTTTTTTTATTTAGATTTATGTGGACCTATACGAATTGGTATTTATAATTTACTTATTGCTTTACATTTTGAATCACATATTAAAGCAAGGTAATAGAATTTGATATTTAGAATAGTTTTGGTTTTTGTTTTTGAAAAATATTTTTTTTATATTCTAGAAGTTTAACTTCAACAGAATTTATTATTCCATTATCAGATGCACTTCGAAAAAGTGTTTTATTACATCCAAAAAATACACTTGAACAACAACAAATATTAGCAACATCAACATATATACCAGCTATGGAACAATTTTTAGCTGTACGACCTAAACTTATCAAAGAAGAAGAGTATGTTATTTCTAACTAAATCTCCTATTGACAGCCGTTAGTTTTTCTTTTTTGTATTTAATCCTTCCTGTGAGATCATATAAGATCCACAAAGAGATCTCAGGAGAGCAGAAAAGGCCGAATATTCTACAAGTTTTAGTCGAAAAGGAAACTCTTCTATCGAGTTAATGAATTTTCTAGTATTCGAAATTCAAAATCTCGACAAAGCATTATTCGTTTTGGACAAAACTTACAGCATATTATAAGAATCATTATACCTATCTATAGGCGAAATTCACTTCTCCAGCCTTAACTTGGCTACTGAGATCTCCTTTGGTGTTTTAAAGAACACTGATGTTATATTTCAGCATATTCCAAAATAAAAGTTTTGTGTATGAAAAATTTGAACATATTTTGTGCGCTAAAAAGCCTATTCTTAACTAGAAAAAAGCAAAAATACCATACTTCAGCGTATTTCCTATACTTTCAGACTATCTCATAACTGTGCATCAGATCTGTTTAGCTATTTCAAATCTCTTATCGACTTGTATTACGGTATATTAGCCAGAGTTCAGCCTGCCTTAGTCTATCTGACAATAAAACCCAAATACTTCACCGTACTCTCACTTTGGAAATACAATGAAGTATTTGAACTTTAGGGTGACGGTGACTTACGCAAGCTGAACTTCGGCTAATATCCCGTAACACCTGTCGATTAGAGATTAAACAGATCTGTTGCACAGGTTATGGCTTAGTCTGGAAGTACAGCATTTTCACTTTTTCCTCTCCTTGAGAAAAGCTATCGCTAAAAAGACACATTAGAATGTGTTTTTCTAGAGTATGTATTCTATTACCTAAGAAAACAGTACTATTCAAAAAAAAAACCAAGATTTGTTAAGATAAACTTGTTTTTTTTTAATATTATTTATAATTTAGTTTTAAAGTTGATCGTGAACGAAAATTACTTGTTCCACCACCATTCAATGTTTTAAGTCTCAAAGAATATATTATGAATTCTTTAACAGATGCTATTGAAAAAAGTTCTGGTCATCTTCGTGATCCAACTGGTGGTACATATGCAAATTGGCTTGTGTAATTATACAAATTTGATATTTTCTTTTTTTTTGTTTTAAAATTTTAATGTTTTGTTTTTTTTCTTCAGACCATTACTTCAATTAGTTGATGCTTTTCTTGTTATGGGAACACTTGGTAGAAAAATAATAAACAAATATTCTTATTAATTCAAATATGTTTCTTTTTTTTTGTAGAAGTAAATGATATTCAACAATTATTACGTTTAATTGATCCAACATCATTTGGATTAGAAAATGAAGAAAATTTTACAGAAGGTTTACTTCAAATGATATTAGATGAACCAGTTAAACTACAATTATGTCATATTTTACAACATTTATGTGATTATCAATTACAATATCGTATTGAAAGTATAATTGCATTTTCTGAAGAATTTGTTGGAAAATTACAAGCAGTAAATTTAATAAAAAAAATACATTTAATTTTATTATAGAAATGAAAAATAATTTTAATTCTAGGATCAAAAACGACGATATCAAGTTTTAAAAGAATCAAGTTTACCACCAGCATTAATGGCAAAAAAAACTCGTGAATTTCGTTGTCCACCAAAAGATCAAGTAGATAAAAAAAAAGAAATTTCTTTAAAAAAAGAAAAACTAATTTTTTTTTCTTTTCAGATGCAAGCATTATTAAATTTTAAAAATGATTTAAATGATATGATTGTTTTTAATGAAGATATAGAAGAAGAAATAAAAGAAATGTTAAAAAATTTTCATTCAAATTTACTTGTTCTACAACAAGTTGTTGAGGTTTGAAAAAAAAACAAAAAAAAAATTGATTTAAACTGATCTTATTTGATTTTTCTAAAGAATTGTGTTAAATAAAATTTTTTTGTTATTGTAAATAGACAAATCCTGTACTTTATCAACCATTGAAAATAAATGAAATTGATAAAAATGAACAAATTTCATTATTTTCACGTTTACTTGAAATTCTTATACGACATGCAATAAAACAAAAGACTGAAGAAAATATTATTATTGAAAAACAATTAACATATAAATCCGGAAGTAAATTACAAAATGATGAATTTATAAAAAAACAAAAAAAAATAAATTATTTGTTTGATTTTGTTTTTTTTTAAAGAAACTCTTTGTGAAGTAATTAAAGAAACAGTTATTAAATGGGGTCGAATAACACATTTTAATGATCCAAATTTAATTCGAGAAATGTTTAAATTAATTTATAATCAATATGATGGAATTCAACGGGTAAAGACATCTGTTTTTTTTTCTTCTCTATAAACAATCGTTTATGATCGTACTTACGGGTCGACAAGCTCAGCTCAGTTCCGCTCAGAGGAACTGTTCAAACAGCTCTTTTGAGCTGAGCTGAACTGGTAAACCGGTTCGTTTGGGCTGTGAGCTGTGTTCCAAAAATAGAACACTTTTGTTCTGTAATGGGAATTATTTTCCAAAAACGGAACAAAAGTGTTCTGTTTTGGGAACACAGGCCAAACGAACCGGTTCACCAGTTCAGCTCAGCTCAAAAGAGCTGTTCGAACAGTTCCTCTGAGCGGAACTGAGCCGAGCTTGTCGATCCCTAATCGTACTTGATCGATTTGAATTTTTAGAATAAAAAATTCTTCAAAATAATATTTTCTATTAGTTAATCATATTTATTTTATTCATTTTTTGAATAGATTTCTCGATGTCTTGAACGAACTTATATAATAAATGATAGATCAGTACCTGATATAACATCATTATTACGTAAATTAAGTATTATTCGTGCACTTTTAACTGTTCAAATGGATTCTGATGAAGAAGCAATAATGATATCATGTTTAAAGTAATTTATTATATTTATTAAAACACAAAATCAAAAGATATATTTTTTTTTAGTGACATAATGGATAATCGTGTATTTTATCAACATCCTGATTTAATGCGTTCACTTTGTGTACATGAAACAGTTATGGCTATAATGGTTAATCGTTTAAATAAAAGTAAACAAGAACAAACATCAATGTCATCAATAAATGATATAGATGGTATTATACAAACAAATGATAGTGGAGAAAATCAAGAAATTCATACTCCTAAAGTACAAATAAAAAAAAAAAAACAAATGAGAAAATAAAATTTCTTTTTTTTTTTTTTTGTGTTTTAGGACGATAAAGTTGAACTTGTAACAACATGTTGTAAATTTTTATCATATTTTTGTCGTACATCACGTCATAATCAACGAGCTATGTTTGAACATTTAAGTTATTTATTAGAAAATAGTTCAATGTTACTTTGTATAAAAATAATTAGACAAATTTAGGAAAAATTAAATTTTCATACTTTTTTTTTTTTGTAATTTTAGCTCGTCCATCACTTCGTGGTTCAGCACCATTAGATGTAGCTAGTGCTAGTGTAATGGATAATAATGAATTAGCATTAGCTTTACGTGAATCACATTTAGAAAAAATAGCTTCATATTTATCACGTTGTGGTACAACAAGAAATGAAGATTTATTTTTGCAAGGTTATCATGATATTGGTTGGGATCCAGTTGATGGTGAACGGTTTGTATTGATGTTAAGAAGAATTTTTTTTTTTTATTGATTTAATTGTTCGTTTTGTTTTATTTCCGTTAGATTTCTTGATTTTCTTAAATTTTGTGTTTGGGTTAATGGTAAATTTAAAATAATTTTCGAAGATTTTTTTTTTTAGCATTTAAAATTAATAATTTTATATTTTAGGTGATACAGTAGAAGAAAATGCAGATTTAGTTGTACGATTACTTATTCGTCGACCAGATTGTTTAGGTCCAGCATTGAGAGGTGAAGGTGGAGGTTTACTTAAAGCAATACGAGAAGGTATTGCACAATCACTTTATATTGCTCGACGACAAAATTCTGATGATCCTGTTATACAAGCTGCTTATCAAGAAATAATTGATGATGAAAGCATGCATAATTTAAATGAAGAATAGTAAGTTCTTTTTAATAGAATATGAAATAATGTTTAAATATATCATAATTTATTGACGAAAGATTTGCTCTTAACTGTAACTCGTTGTTTGAGTACATATAACACTGACAAGGAGATCTTAGTAAGACAAGAAAAAGAAAGATTCTTTGTGGTTGAAATTTTCAAAACTTTAGTAAAACGATCATAGCTTTCCATATCGCAAAAACTAGATCATTTTTTGTGGTAAACCACAGTATTTGTCAAAACCGGCGGTTAATTGTAGTAATGGGTGCCGGTAACCGACTCGGTAAAACCATCTGTTTTTATTACATGGGCTAACGGCAAGGATCCATGAGATGGATTATTTTCTGTATTTTTTATTCTTACGGAGACCTTCTTGTGGGTCTAACATGATCTTAATCGATTGCTTACATTTGACAAATGATTCTCCGAAACTACTAGTCGGTTTAAATAAACTGTTCAATCAGTGTCCTCTTCTAGTTATGTAAATCGCTATCGAGAACAGTGTCCGACTCAGATCGGGTCGAGTTACTAACAATGGATCGATTTCGAAGTTTGTATAAGACAAACGACGATTTCAGATGAGATAATGATTTCTTTATTTTCGAATAATGAGCAAGTTTGTATAGATACACTAAAAAGAGTCCCATGTGATGAAAACCGGGCAAAAAACGGCGGTTAACCGCGGTTTCATAAACCGTGAAAGTCAGACCGTCTATGCGGTTTTTGAAACCGGCAAAAATCGCGGTTTGCAAATACCACGGTGAGAGTCGAGAAAACCGCGGTCCGAGCTGAGTTTTTGCAGGACTAACCGCGTTTTATCTGTTCTCACCGCAGTATTACAAACCGCGGTTTCAACCGGTTTTTAAACGACGCATAAATGGTCTGACTTTCGCGGTTTTTCAAAATGCGGAACAAAACCGCGGTTAACCTAAGACTACCGCGGTTTTTTTCTGAAAAATTTTTCCGTGGGTCCTTGCCATAAAAAAACCGCGGTTTTTCCCGGTTAACCGCCGTGAACCGCTACTTTTTTCCGGTTTACCGCTAAAACGGATCCGGTTATTGTGACATGGGTTGTTAACCTATGAAAAAAAAACTCATTTTTCTTGACAGAAAAATATCTTCAATCTCGGATCGTGTCGAGTCAGGCAAAAATTGATCCATGTCGGACACTGATAGAAAAAAGCCATATTCCATTTTTTGGATATAGCCTTGTCAACGAATAGACTCCTAATTATTTGATTATTTCTATGTAAATGTATAAATTAATTCTTTTTTTAAGTATTTCTATTTTTGTTTGCATGAACTATTAAAAAAAGTATGTTTTAATCTTTTGATAAAAATTTAATTAATTAATTTTTTAGTGATCATCTACAAGTTCGTTTACCATATACCGATGATGAAGAATATATTGATTTAGGTGCTGCTGAATTATCATTTTATGCTATATTAGTTGAATTATTAGGACGATGTGCACCATCTGAAGAAACTATTAAAATGGGAAAACAAAATGCTATTCGAGCTAAATCAATTCTTAAAAGTCTTGTTTCAATGCATGATCTTGAAGGTGTTCTTGGTCTAAAATTTCTTTTATCAAGTAAATCAAATATTTTTGTTTTTATCATTTAAAAAAATATAATTATTGTTTCTTTTTTTTTTTAAATGAAAGATGAAAATTCTATGCCACCTGGTCTTCAACCTTCTCATAAAATGTCCATTATACTTTTTCTTGAACGTGTCTATGGTATTCCTGATCAAGAAACATTTTTTCGTCTTATTGAAGAAGCATTTCTTCCTGATATTCGTTGTGCTACTATTCTTGATATGGTAATTTATATCTTTTTATATGATTTCTTTTCTAAACTTAAGATTTTTTTTTTTAATAGGCAGCAGTATCTGAAAGTGATCTGGCATTAGCATTAAATCGTTATTTATGTACTAGTGTTATACCATTAATGACATCACATGTACATTATTTTGATAATTGTGATCATCGTTCATCACTTCTTGAATCTATATTACATACTATTTATCGTTTATCAAAATGTCGTTCATTAACTAAAAATCAACTTGATAGTATTTGTGCATTTTTACTTGCTTTTGCTAGGTAAATTTAAAGAAATGTATTAAGCAAAAAAAAACAAACCATTGTTATTTAATTTTAGTCAATTAAAACCATCAATGATGACACCATTATTAAGAAAACTTGTTCATGATGTACCAGCATTAACAGATCAAACTATTGTACCATTGAGAGTATGTTTAAAAAAAAAACAAAATTTGAAAGTTATCTTTTGATTTTAAACATAATTTATATTTAGATGCTTACTCAATGGTATGAACAATGTAGTCGATATTATACAATTGCTGCTACAGAAGAAGAAAAACGTTTAACAATGATGTTATTTCAAAAGATTTTTGATGCACTTGCTTCTCGTGTATGTATAGATAATCTTGTTCATTTAAATTGTTTTCAAATAGGCAAAAAATGATACAAAAATTGTATGAACTTCAATAAAAAAAAAAACATGATTTTCTCATCATGTCTGAAAGAGAGGAAGTATTAGAATAACAAATAAAAATTTTCGAATTGTACTTTGATATGCTCAAGAAAATTTTCTAATCAAAACTGAATAGCCACTTCGAATATATAAGATCAACTTAATGGAATTTACTTAAAAGAAAACCTGTATAAGTAGTAGAAAGTATTTGAAACAAGACTTATCATATTAGGTAGAATTTAATGAGACTTAGCAAAATCTATAATGAATCATATCCTTGTCACTTTTATTTTATTGAATATTACTCATAAGTTAATTTGATTTCAGGCTTATGACCCTGAATTATTTGGTAAAGCACTACCATGTTTAACAGGTAAGTGTATGATTAATTTATTTAATGAAATATTTAAGTATATTTTCGTATTGATTAGCAATTGGAAGTGCTCTATCACCGGATTATGCTTATTCAATAACACAACAAGATAATTTAAATCACGAACGAGAAAAAGTTGAAATGTCTCGTAGTTATGAACCTAATCCAACTGATACATCAAAGTTTGTTTGAAAACCGAAGCTTACAAAAAACAAAAAGAATTGAATATATATTATTTTAGTGTTATATTGAGTCCAGCATTAGAAGATTTTGTTAAAGCTTATGCTGAAAGTGTTCATGATCAATGGTCTTATGCTAAAGTAAATAAGAAATAGATATTTTTTGAAAATTTTATGTTTGTTTTTTGATTTATTTAGATCGAACAAGGTTGGACATATGGTGAACAAATTAATGATAAATATCGTCAACATCCTAATTTAAAACCATACAAACTTCTTGATCGAATGGTTAATCATATTTTGTATTATCTTTTCTGTTTTTTTTTAATAGTTCAAATATTTAATTGTAGGATATTGCTAAACTTGAAGATCCTATTCGTGAAGCATTAAAATCTATTGAAAAATTACAATTTCATTTAGAAAAGACAGATACAGGTATGACACGTATTGCTACAAAACCATTACAACGAAAAAAACAAAAAGTAAAATTTTATTCAACTTATAAACAAAATAAAGAATTTCATTTTCTTAATTTTCAAGGATAAAAATGTACCAGATTATGCTCCGAAAGCATTGGATTTTAATAGTGTAACAATGAATCGAGATATGCAGGTAATAAAAAAAAAGCACATCATTGAAGAATTAAGTAAAATAAAAAGTATATATTTAGGATTTGTCTGAAGCTTTAGCTCGAAATGCTCATGAAATTTGGGCAAAACAATTAAAAGATCGTCTTGCTGCAATAGGTAATTACTAGCGAGAACCCATGCATACTGCACGGCCGGTTTTTTAACGTACGACCATTAACCTTTCACTCGGTAACAGACACACAGAGACACTTGACATTATGTACATAGAAGCCCTACGGTGTGATATCCTTATATCGCTAATAGCCCATGTAGCCTTACGGTCTAGTAGCCTTATCCCCTTATAGCGTTTCCCCTTACTCTTCCCTCCTTGAAGCCTTATTCCCTTATAGCCTTACCCTCTTATTGCCTTAGCCCCTTACAGCCGTACCCCTTATTGTCTTACTCCCTTATAGCCTTACCACCTTGTACCCGTACTCTTTATAGCCTTCGTCCGTAATAGTCTCCCCCCTTCCCAAGCCTTATCCCTTATAGCCTTCTTGATCTTTAACCTTTGACCCGACACAGAGAAACAGACACTGAACATTTATATATATAGATATTGAATTATTTGATTGAAAAATTTTATTTTTCATATTATTTAGGTGGTGGTCTTCATTGTCGACTTGTTCCATTTGAACTATTAACTGATAAAGAAAAACAAAAAGATTTAAAATTTTATCAAGATCTTGTTAAATATCTTCATACATTTGGTTATCGTGTTGTCAAGTAAAATATAATAAGAAAATAAAAATTTATATATTTTTGTAAATTTATTTAGAACTGTTTATGAAACAAATACAACAATATCAAATTTAACACTACGTGTTGCTTCAGCATCAACATTAATTAATGATAAACGTTTTGCATCTAGTTTATTAGAAAAATTACTTGAATATGTTGAACGTGCATCAATAACAATGCAAAATTATAAAGAAAGTTCTAAATTTTCCTTACATGAAACTTATCGTTTAACAACAAAAGATGTTAAATTTTTTGGAAAAGTAAAATCTAAATGAAAATTTTTTTTTTTTTTTGAATTTAAATAAATATAAATTCTAGGTTGTTCTACCACTTATTGAAAAATATTTTCAAGCACATAGAAATTATTTTATTATACCACCATCATTAAAAACTGGTAATAGTTATGCATCAGTTAAAGAAAAAGAAATGAGTTGTAGTTTATTTTGTAAATTGGCATTTTTACTTCGACAAAAATTTAGTGCATTTGGAAATGATGTTAGTATAACTGTTCGTTGTTTAAAAGTACTTGTTCGTGCAATTGATGTTAGGTATAATGGTTTTCTTTTTTTTTAAATATATAGAATTAATTAGAATATCATTTTCTTTTTTTTTTTAGTTCTGTAATGAAAAATAGTCAAGAAATGGTTCGTGCTTCTTTATTACCATTATTTAATAATATTGCTGAAGATCTTAATCAAACTGTATTAAATCTTGAACAAAAACGTTATAGTTATATAAAAGGAACATTACAACGTGGAACAACTAGTCTTGCTTATATACATATGGTTCTTTTACCTGTACTTTCATCATTACTTGATCATTTAGGAAAAAATAATTATGGTGTAGATTTATTCGGTATGACATTCATAAAAAAAAAGAATAATTAACTTAATCCTTTACCCTCCGTAACGATTCCAAATGAGACCCTGATACAATTACTTCATAAATGGAGTACTAGCAGAGATGAGCACAGGACAAGATTTTCTCTTCTGTTCTCCCCTGTCCTGGTAGCTATCTCGGTCCTGGCCAGCGGCAGGACAGGACAACATGACGTCCTGTCCTGTGCTCATCTCTGAGTACTACTTCCTCTAATATGTAAATGATGTAGTCTGATACATTGCGCGTCCGACTTCTATTGTACGGTGACTTGATTAGTTCAGCAATTAGATGATGGACAAAGAGAACAAAAACGATATGACAAGCCTTGATTTTTCCTTCTGTGACCACAGTGTCGAGTAGGCGGAAGCATTATCTATCCCGCACTATTGGAGTAATAGAAAAACAAAAGAACTGAGAATTGATAAAAATCAAATTCAAAAGAATGCGTGTATTTTTGACACATATTGTCAATTACAGATCTATCTTACTTGAAGCCGCTTAATAATCTTTGAAGGCATTTAATTTATAATAAATACTGTTTCAATTAGTTATCATGAGTTGAGATTTATAATGTACATATTAATTTTGTTCTGTATTGCCCTCCATCTGCTCAACGGTGGCTTCATGGTCAACCGTCTACGTTTGCATTTATAATTTAAAGAGTTATAATGAAAATTTGGAGACCTATCGAACTCAACAGTAGACTTTCTCATCAATTTTTATCACATAGCAATTCCGAAAGATATGCACTGATTGTAGATAGAACACGTTTTTTTTCAAAATTATCGATTTTGTAGGCTCAATATTTCAAAGATGGAGCAAGGAAAAGGAAATAGTCGTTTTATCAATAGATAATTCTTGAAGTTTCTTAGCATTTTTTGATCCCACACTTTCTTTATTGTCTACAATTGTTCAACGAATGGTTACTTCTGTGACCAAGAGAGAGGGGGTAAATGATTAAACTTTAAAATAATAAATAATATAATAAATAATAAGTTTAAGAATATGACATGTGCCTCATAATAATGATTGTTATCAATGAATTGAGTGAAGGGAAAAGTTTCTGCTATTCTATCTTTAATTGGTAATCGTATTCATGCTCACATATCTTCACAGAATTACAATTTTTTTGTTATAGAACAATGTATTATAAAGAATTTTCATCTATAAGAATATTTCATCGTTCCTCCTGATTTTGTTCTAATTGTTTTTGAAATCGAATCTATTATTGAGCATTAAACATTTCGCTTGAAATTTCTAGAATATTCTTCAAATGATAAAATCTACTTAATAGATTAAATTTCAAAGTTGAAATTCATTTGTTTAATTAATCTGTCAATATCTTATTCAATAAATGAAACTTGAACAATCCTATCATAAATCTAATAATATTTTATTTGATAGAAAATGAAATTCAATTGGCTGGTTATAAAATTTTAAATGCTTTATGGATTATTGGTACAAAAGGAAGAAAATTTGTTGATAGGTAAAATTATTAATTTTTGAAATACATAATCTATAATAAATAATATATTTATTTATTTAAGAGAATGGATTATTGAAGAATTAAATCGTCATCGTCCATTAGTTGGTGATTGTCTAAGTTCATTTGCATCATGTTTTCCTGTAGCATTTTTTGAACCTGAATTTAATACAAATAATAAAAATGCATCAAATGTTTCACAATTATCACCAGAAGCTCATGGTAAAAAAACAAATAATAAATTTTAATTTGAAATAAATAAAATAAAATAATTTTCATATTTAAATAGATGTTATGACAAATATTTCAAGAACAATTCCTAATTTAACAAAATTAATAGCAGATATTGAAGAACATGCTGAATCAAGAGTAAAATATGAAGATGCTCCTTATGTTGTTGAAGTTATTCTTCCATGTCTTTGTTCTTATCTATCATATTGGTGGTCAATGGGACCAGAAAAAATTAAACAAATAACTGAGTATGAACTTTTAATTTCAAGATTATAATTTCTATTCTTTTTTTATTAGACCACAAATAACTAATGTTACAGCAAATCATATGAATTCTGTATTAGGTAGTGTTTTGAAATTAATTAATAACAATATTGATGCTATTGAAGCACCATGGATGAAACACATTGCAGGTAAAATATTATAGACTATGAATAATACACTAAACGTTAAAAAAAAAAGGAATCAATATCTTTAATCTATATTAATCAATCAGGTTAATATTTTTCGCGGTGATAACGAAAGACTCGTCAATTTTAAGCTAAAAAAGCATATTCAATTTTGGGTCCTTTATTGAACCTTTGTTTTTCAGCTTGTTTGAGCATTCATTTATTAAAGATATAGACAATTATGCAAATTAAGAGGGATAATTCTCAGGTTATATATAGATTTTACAGTACCTATTAGAAGTCCCTGGACATGTCAAAATCCAGGTAAAGCTGAACCATTTCCCATGAAATTGTTACCAGAGATAGAGCTCGAAAAACTGTGTTCGCAAGCACCAACCCGAGCTCAATCGACTGAGACAGGATGGAGTTCGGTTTGAAACATTGCTTTCAACTTTCAAAGAATTTTATCAATTTTTTCCATTCATCAATTTAAATCAGATTGTTTCTCGCATCTTTGGTGGTAAGTTTTGATTTAATTTTATGAAAATTGCGTAGACAAATGCAAAAAACAACCCAGTTTGAATTGATGAATGGAAAAAATTGATAAAATTCTTTGAAAGTTGTGATCAAAGTCGTAAAAGTTGAAAGCAATGTTTCAAACCGAACTTCATCCTATCTCAGTCGATCGAGCTCGGGTTGGTGCTTGCGAACACAGTTTTTCGAGCTCTATCTTTGGTTAAAATTCCATGGAAAATGGTTCAGCTTTTCCTGGATTTTGACATGTCCAGAGACTTCTGACGGGTACTGTATATAAAAGCAATCATTGAAACAGATTTTTTTTATTCAATATGATTGTGCTAATTTCTTTTTTGAAATAAATGAACATTACAGAGCATTTGTTGCACAATGAAAGATAACAGAAAGGTTTGTGTGACTAGCAAATATGATTTTGTCATCTATATTTCCGATTTTATATCATTGATGTTTCAAATAATTATGAATCTTATTCGAGTCATCTGATGTTGACAGTCATAGAATTATTAAATAGATACTATTCACAACTAGTATTATTAGAAAAAACTCTTCGATCTTGTAATTTCAATTATTCTTCGAACGAGATATGTGAAATTCTTATTGCATGTATTGCGTTAGAAATGTAGGTTAGTGAAAACAGCTTCATAGCAAGTAGAACTATCATGTATCTTAAAACACCAAATTGCTTTACTTGAGCTACATTTTTAAGAAGGTGTGGATTCAGCAAGCAATAGATATTGAGTATTTTTATCGTCGAATCCTTTATGGGATCTCCAGATATATATATATATATGATTTTTTTTTAAGTGTATACTCAAACAATTATTTTTAATTCATCAACAAATCTTGTTGAACCATATTTTTTACCTGTATCACAACGTATAAAATCAAAATGTGAAGATTTATTTACACAAGAACAATCATTAAAAACTGCAACTCGTTTAGAATCATCTGAACGTGAAGATCTTGAATTAGATTTAATGAAAGTAAATATTAAATCAATAAAATTTCATTGATGAATTTTCTTTTGGATGTTCTTTTTTTATTTTTCTTCGTGTTAGGATTATGAAATTCTTGTTCGTGATATTTATGCATTTGGACCATTATTAATTAAATATGTTGATATTCATCGATCATATTGGCTTAAAAATGGTGATAAATATGCAGAAGAATTATATAATAATATGGCTGAAGTATTTTCTGTTTGGTGTAAATCAAAAGTAAATTGAATAGAATACAGATGTCAAAAAAGATTTACGATATGAAGAAAATATCGAAAGATATCAACAACAACATCCGACCTTTAATCTCTAGCGGATATGTTGAGTTGAGAAAACTTACAAGAATAGGCAGCTAACAGTATATTACAGGAACTTTTAAGTACTTGTAGAACATGACTATAAAATATTTCGAAATGTTCAGTCTACTAATTTGTTCAAATATTTTTCATAGAGTCAAACAAAAGTCCGTCGGCTCTATACTGATGATAGAGGGACATTTGTTTCAGAGATGTCCATCGCGGCAGCGGCAGGTTTTTTAAAAAATCACCGCGACAGCGGCAGATTTTTTAAAAAGTCATCGCGGCAGCGGCGCGGTAGCAGCAGATTTTTTAAAAAAACCATCGCGGCAGCGGCAGGATTTTTTTTGGAGGACATTGAAAAACTGTATGAATTTAATAAAATTTCAGGATTTACAAATGAAACGCCCTGATATTGAATAAATCTGATGGACTAGTACCCTTATCTCTGGTCAAATATAGTCACAGCAGTGAAATTAGAAACACTTTTTTGAAAACCGTCGCAGCAGCGGCGCGGTAGCGGCACGTTTATTTTATAATTCATTGCGGCAGCGGCGCGGCAGCGTTTCTTTTATAAGTCATCGCGGTGCGGCAGCGTCGCGGCAACATTTTTTTATAAACCGTCGCGGCGCGGCAGCGGTGCAGCAGCTTTTTTTTCTAAGGCCACGGCGCGGCAGCGGCAGATTTTCAGCCGCGATGGACATCTCTGATTTGTTTATACTACATCCTATCGATATAGGGTTATCACTTTAAAATCGCCATTCTATTGAAAAAAAAATGGAAATTCGTACGATTCTTTGATCTTATGATCATTGTGACACTAAATATCGATTTTGAATTAAATATTGAGAGTACTACTCATACTCTACTAACACAAGGATAAAAAAAATAAACATATGATTTGACTTTTATTTTTATAGTATTTTAAACGTGAAGAACTTAATTTTGTAACAACACATGATATTGATAATACAAGTATGTTAATGCCAAGTGGAACAAATCAAACAACAACAACAACAACAATAACAAAAACTACAAATGATGTTAGTGGAAAACCAAAAAGAAAAAAACGACGACTTGATAAAGAAAAATTTACATCATTAAATGTTGCTTGTATAAAACGTTTATTACCTATTGGAATGAATACATTTGGTGGACGAGAACAAGAACTTGTTCAATTAGCTAAACATAAAATGATTGAAGTAACATTTTTTTGAAAATGTCTTTGTTTTAAGATGATAAAATGCAAAAAAAGATTTGATAGTTTACTCATTTTTTTGTTATATCTTATTTAATTAAGTACAAAAGTAAACTTTAAAGATTAGTTAAAAATCTTTCAAAAGTTTAAAACTCATAGTTTGACAAGAATCATTTTCGAATTTAAAGTTTACACAAATTATGTTCTTAATGGAATTATTTGTTTAAAATTTCAATGCAAAAGTCAAAGATGTGAATTAAAGATAAAGCTTGTCTCTTTTCGAGATTTTCTCGCCTAGTTTACTGTTTGTTCAATAAAAAAAAGAAATGAGAAAGACAGTGAAGTTTGTTCGAATCATCGAAATGAATATCAGTAAAATTTCAAAATATTTTCAAATAGAACTTGAATGAAAGATTTTCTAGATAAGAATATAAAGAAAAAACCATTTTGATAGTGGGAAGCTACGGATCCGGACTCGGTCGTGTCCGAGTCCAAAAAAACATGGATTCGCCGCTCTCTATTTGATAGTCCTAAACTTTAAGACTAGTAGACGAAAAATGATGGCAGAAAGAAATCGATTTCTGTCTTTATATTTCCATATTTGATTCTATACCTAATACAAACTAATCATTATGATAGCTCTACTGTTTTTTTTTTATAAATTAAAGGAACATATCTTCGAAATACATATTTTGTTTTATTCAATAGACGAAAATGGCAGACGATGAAAAAATTGAAAATCCAACAGATGAACAATTGATTTTAGATTTAACAGTTTGTTATCATAATATGTTTTTGCTATATTATATATATATATATATATTTAGAGTGAACAAGAAGAAATTGTACAAGAATTTCTTAGCGAAAGTTTTCGTGCACAAGAACAAGTATTCTTCATACATATTTTTTTGTTTTTAAAAACTTGTATTTTTTAATATATATATGATTTGTTTAGGGAGATATAGTTAATAAAAATAATTGGCAAAGTATATTATATCGAAAGATTGGTTCAAAATCGTATCGTAGTGATATAAATCATTCTGAAGAAATATCTATAAAAAATATGTTAAAAATGGCTAAAGTATTATTTGGTTTACATTTTGTTGATCATCCACCAACACATCGACGTAGTACATGGCGAAAACTTGTTTCAACACAACGTAAAAAAGCAATTATGGCTTGTTTTCGTATGGCACCATTACATTCTGTTACAAGACATAGTGCTATGAATATGTTTTTACGTGCATATAGAGAATTATGGCTTGAAACTGAAGAAGATATACGTTCACGTTTAATTGAACATCTTTGTGTAAGTTAAATTTTATAATTTAATATTTTTTTTACAAAAATATAATTTAAAGAATGATTCTCATGAAATGGATGAACAAGATATAACAACAATGAAAGAAGAAACTGAAAATGAAACTGAAAATTTAACATTAACAATAACAATGAAACCAGATCCATTAAAACAATTATTACAATGTTTAAATCGTGCTGCAACAACTGCAGAAGTTTTTTCAATTACTGAAGATATTATTTATTTATCTTATTCAACAATTATGAGTAAAGTAAGATTAAATCAAAATAAGAAACATTGAAAAATAATTCGATTAGATTTTTTTTTTCATTCTCGAAAAAAAAAACTAAATAAAAGTTTTAATAGTAGAAAATTTCTATTTTCAAAAGATAGAATGTCTGAAAAATTCAAAACTATTTGCTTCGTAAATATACAATTGCAAGTCCTATTTGATTTATCTAGAAGGATAGAACAAATTCTAGTATTCTACAATATTACTTAACTGAAATAATTAAGAAAATCTTTATTCGAAGTCAATTCAGACTATAATCTATAACGTTTTAATTTTTCTAAATGCAAATATTAGAAATTGAAAAGCTTAGATTTGGAATTTTTTTTCAAAAATAAAAACTTCTCTGGTTGGAAATCAAAATTTTCTACTCAAGAAACCTGGTCGAATAATTTGAGAATCAGTGTATATATAAATATATATATTTGATTTTGTTTTGAAGAGTTGTGTTATTGCTGAAGACGATGATGATGAAGGAGCAGAAGAAGTCAAATCATTTCAGGTAAAATAATCAAAAATATACATTTTTATTTTTGATAGAAAATTAATATTTTAAGGAACAAGAAATGGAAAAACAAAAATTACTCTATGAACAAAATCGATTAGCAAATCGTGGTGCTGCTGAAACTGTATTATTATATATAAGTGCAAGCAAAGGTATTTTCTTTATCAATCTTATTTATTTTTATTCAATTAAAAAAAAAAAAAATTTAAGGTGAAAATAATGAAATGCTTCGACGTACATTACAACTTGGTATATCATTATTACATGGTGGTAATCGAGAAGTTCAAAAAGTAAATAATTATTTTCTTATTTTTTTATATTATTAATTCTTATATTAATTTTAGCGAATGTTAAATTATTTAAAAGAAACAAAAGATGTTGGATGTTTTACTTCATTAGCAACATTAATGGCCAATTGTAGTGTACTTGATCTTGATACATTTGAACGTTGTATTAAAGCTGAAGTACTTGGTATGTTTAATGGAATAATTTTGTTATGTTTCTATTATATACTTTTTCTTTTTATTATTATATATAGGTGTTGGTTCGGAAGGCATGGCTGGTGAAAAAAATTTACATGATGCTGATTTTATAATATCATTATTTCGTTTTTGTCAACTTTTATGTGAAGGACATAATCTTGAATTTCAAAATTATCTTCGTTTACAAGCTGGAAGTAGTACAAATGTCAATATTATTATTTGTACTGTTGATTATTTACTTAGTTTACAAGTAATAAGAGAAAAAGTGGAAAAAAAAAGAAAATTTTATGAAGTATTTATTTTAATTTTAGGAATCATTAATGGATTTTTATTGGCATTATTCAGGCAAAGAAACAGTTGATGCACATGGAAAAGAAAATCTTTGTCGAGCTATCAGTGTTGCTAAACAAGTTTTTAATACATTAACGGAATATATTCAGGTTTGATATATCAAAACAAAAAAAAAATTCATTTCGATAAGAGTTCTTATTAATTAAATTTTATATAAAATTATTTTCTAGGGTCCATGTCCACAAAATCAATTAGCATTAGCAAATAGTCGTTTATGGGATGCAATTGCTGGATTTCTTTATATTTTTGCACATATGCAAAGAAAATTATCTCAAGTAAAATACCATTGATTTATCTATTTATATAATGTTCAGTGCGTGCGTATCTGTGCCGGGTCAAAGGTCAAATAAGGCTATAAGGAGAAGGCCCAGGGGCTGTTATAATGGGGACCCATAGGTTCTCAAGGGCTATTATATAGGGTATCCATAGGTCCTCAAGAGCTATTATATTGGGGTACTCACAGGTTCTCAAGGGCTATTATATGGAACTACTCATAAGTCCTCAACAGGTATTATATGGGGGTACGTATAAATCCTCAAGGGCTATTATATGGTATATCCAGGGCCCGCGCGAAGGATCAAATATTAGGGGGGTGTTTGGCAGATTGGGGGGGTGTAAGAGTGTATTTTTAGAAAAATCTTGCAGAAAAATCATAAAATGTGGACAATATCTGCTCTTGTGGCCGGATAAAACTGAAAATTTTTTATTTTCGGGGGAGTGTACACCCCCTAAACCCCCCGCTCGCGCGGGACCTGGGTATATCTGTAGGATATGAAGAGCTATAATATGGGGGTGGCCATAGGTTCTCAATGGACTAAGGCAATAAGGGGATAAGGCTGAAGGCTACATGGACTATGAAAATATGTGCGATATAAGAGTATGAGGCCGTAGAGCTATCTATCTATATACATAATATCAAGTGTCTGTATGTCTGTTCCTGAATGAAAAGTTAAACGTCTTAGGTCATGCGTTAAAGGAGAAAACAGCCGTGTAGTATGCATGGGCTCTCACTAGTCTATTAATAATAAATTTTCATTGTCTAGGATCCAACACAAATTGAATTATTACGTGAAATTATGAAATTACAAAAAGATATGATTATTATGTTATTATCAATGCTTGAAGGTATTACAATAAAATTTTATTTATTAATATTTAATCTTATCTTTCATTTTTTAGGAAATGTTCTCAATGGACCAAGTAAATTTGTTTTTTTTTTTTGTCATAAATAAAATTTTATAATCTATTTATTTTAGTTGGTAAACAAATGGTTGATACATTAATTGAATCTCAAGTTAATGTTGAATTATTATTACAATTTTTTGATATATTTCTTAAAATAAAAGAATTAACAACATCAGAAGCATTTCTAGAATATGATACAAATAAAGATGGATTTATTTCTCCAAAAGAATTTCGTCGAGCTATGGAAGCACAAAAAGTTTATACAAAGTAAAATTTATTAATTTTCAATAAAAAAAAAACAAAAAAAAATTAAAATATTAATTATTTTATTTAGTCAAGATATGGATTATATATTAAATTGTGTTGATATAAATCAAGATGGTAAAATTGATTTTATGGAATTTACTGAACGTTTTCATAATCCAGCTCGAGATATTGGTTTTAATATGGCTGTTTTATTAACAAATTTATCTGAACATATGCCACATGATATACGTTTACAACGTTTAATGGATAAAGCTAAAAGTTTTCTATCATATTTTCAAGATCATCTTGGTAGAATTGAAATAAAAGGTGGTGCTGGTTATATTGAACGTGTTTATTTTGAAATAACTGAATCAAATATTGAACAATGGAATAAACCACATATTAAAGTTTGTTGATCTATATAACAACAAAAAAAAAACATATTTTGATAATATTAAATTTTATTTTAGGAATCGAAAAAAGCATTTTTACATTTAGTAGTCAATGAAACAGATGATAAAGAAAAATTAGAACAGTTTATTGATTTTTGTGAAGATACTATATTTGAAGTAAGATTATCAAATTTTATATAAAAGAAGTATTGAAGTATGTAGAACAGAGATGGGCAGCTCCGGTTGCCGGCTCCGACGAAAGTTGGTGAACCAGCGACCCAGGACAGATCATACATACGTCGAATTTAACATCATTCGACGCAGAAATGTTTGCTCTTTCCAGCTATGTATTTAACTTAACTGTTGTCTTTCGTTGAAAAAAAGTCGTCGGAGCCGGTCGAACTAAGCTCCGACTCCGACTACCGGCTTCAACAACTTTGTCTCAATGAATACTCTTCTCAATGGAAGACAACAGTTAAGTTAAATATATAGCTGGAAAGAGCAAACATTTCTGCGTCGAATGGTGTTAAATTCAACGTATGTATAATCTGTCCTGGGTCGCTGGTTCACCAACTTTCGCCGAAGCCGGCAACCGGAGCTGCCCATCTCTGATATAGAATGAAAATTTTACACCCCTCGCATCCGAATCCCTTTTAACATAGTTCTATCTTAGAATCGAAACAATGAAAAAAAAAAGAAGTTGAAAATTTTTATTTCTTCGATTTTTCTAATTTAGATGCAACATGCAGTTGCTATTAGTGGTGAAGAAGATGATCAAACACATCGAACAATGAAATCTTCAAATATTGAACCAACTATTGTTCATCCAACAACATCTCAACCTATGAAATTAACTCTTTCATATTCTTGGTCATGTATAAAATATCTCTTTCATTTACTTCGTCCATCAACAATTCATAATACTTATAATCATTTTCGACAAATGACATTTAAAGACATGATTAAAAATCTATTTTTATTATTCATCAAATGTATTCAATTATTATTTATTATAATAATTTGTGGTTTTAGGTATGTTAAAGAATATTGTTGAAAGCATCTCATCTGTTATGATAAACTTTTTCTTCAAATTTTATATTAAAAAGAAACAAAACATTTTCACCAAATATTGCTACTATACTATAAGAAAAAAAATTAAAATTTTCATTTATATCTAAATACAAAAATTAAATGTAAGTCGATCGATTGAGATTTCTAATATTTCCAGCTACAGGCTAATGAAAACATTATTATCCGATAAAATGAATTGATAGTTTAATTTCAAACAAAAAATAATCGATCTTTCTCTTTTTGTTATTTAAAATTCAATTAATATTTGTTTTTTTTTTGTTCTAAATAAAAAAACGAACATTTTTCATGTTTATATAGAACATTAACATATTGTATTTGGACTTTAATGGCTGAAGATGATCAACAAGATGTACAACGATCAGAACGAACTCCTTTACCACCATTACCACACCGACATGATTATCGTCTACGTATGTTTTGAATTTTCATGCAAAATAAAAAGGTCTATATTCAAATTTTATTTTAGCTTCAATCAGTGGTCCACATCATGGTTTTATAGATGGTGAAGATTTAATAGGAGTTAATGCATTTGGAGTTGATCTTAATTTAGATTCAGAACCAAAACATAAGTAAATACATATAATAATTCATTTTTTTTTTTATCAATTCATATTATAGAATGTCTTTAACTGATGAACAACTAAGTTTACTTGTAATGGATAGTACTCGAATGATTGATTCTCCTAGAAGATCTTCACTTATGAATAATACTCATTCATCAACAGGACAATATTTAACAACATCAATTACAGGCTCAACTGCTCACTTCTCACCATCAACATCTTATAGTCGAGATCTAAATTTAATACCACCTTCTGGATCTTATAAACCACAATTAACTACGGCAACAAATATGCCGCAAAATGTTATCGAAAAATCTAAATATGCACTTGAAGTAAATTCTTATTGATGATTTATATTTATTTGAATGTTGAACTTCACATTCTTTTTTTCTTTCTTCTAAAGGTCAATGCTCAAACTGAATATCAACAAAAGCGATCATCAACTACTGTGAATAATACAACAGGCGAAGATGATAATGTTACTCCTTCACAACCATCGACACGAACAGATTTTGGAAAGAAAGCTCTGGTAAATAAAATGTTAATGAATATCTTTTGTCAAACTATATAATAACAAACATAGAAGTTCATTTAAGAAAACACAAAGAGAGATTTGCTTAATTTTTCTCTCTAAAAACAACAAATTATTACTTTTTGTGAAATCATTCGTATTAATTTCTTTTATGATTTTATTCAACATTCTTGTATACGCGTGCATAGTAAATGAATGTCCGAAACCTCTGTTAGTATGTTTTAAGTAATTTAAAAACAATCTGTTTACCCATATCATATATCAAAAACTCATACAATCAAGCCACGCACTAGGATTACGAATTTAATACAGAAATGTAAACTTTATCTTATCCAAATAATTAATCACATTTTTTGAAAAGCACAATAAGAACTAATTTGGATCGTCGTTCGAAAATTAACGTTAGATTTGTCTAGAAATGCTGAGCCAGAAGATTCAAGCTTTGAAGTTTATCATTTTGTGATGTTCTTGTTGTAGGACTCAGCACGCTGAAAAGAAAAAGTATTCTATGTCATTCGATTCTTCAATATGTTTTGTTACATTTCTTTAGTCTGCATTATTAATTTCATTTAGTTCAAACTTTTTCTATAGTTAGATATAATTACCTACAATTTTTAGTAGCGAATCTTGCATAAAAAGAGAAATAGAACAAAAATGATAATCTTAACAATTTCAATGATTCTGAAATATCAATATTCGAGCAAATGAACGTATCTTTTTGGTTGATAAAAGCCTGTAAACGAAAGTTCAACTACATATAAAAATATCAAGAATTTTAGTGAGACATAGCGCAATATTTGTAGTTGCCTTTTTTTAACGTTGTAATGCTCAAAGAAAAAACAGAAGTGACGTAGATCATGGCTTTCTTTACAATTAAATAATAACGATATCGCAATGTCAATGATCTACATTCTTGACGGCATACGTATACACAAATATTCAGACTTCTCACACATACAATAATTGAGATCGGCTAAGGCGGATATAGAAATATTAGTTAATTATCTTTGAGAAACTTAACAAAATGTTTTTCTTCAATTCGAATCATATGGGATCGGAGTTTATCGATCCAATATTTCGATAATATTTCATATTGATACTGAATGTCAAGAAATCTGAAATATATTTTTCTTTGATCATGTTTTAAATGATTATTTTAAAATAGGCATTAATGGCAAGAAATTATCATACATTGAAATTGATGGCTCTTTGTCTTGCTTTTATAATTAATTTTCTTATGTTATTTTATAAGGTAAAAGAAAATTTTTCTTTCTATTTGTTAATTGATGAAATTATGTGTAAATCATTCTAGGCAATACCATTAACTGCAATAGTTAATGAATCAGTTGCTTCTGATGGTATGGAACAAGTTGATGAAGATGAAGATGACAATGAAATAATAGTAATGGATCCAAGAAAATATTATATGAGTTATTTATTACGAGCAGCTGCATTTTTACATTCATCAATTGCATTTTTAATGATGATTAGTTATTATAAATTAAAAGTAAAATAAATTTACTTTTTTTTTTCTATTTTTAAAATAACGATTGATTTGTATCTTTTAGGTTCCATTAGTAATATTTAAACGAGAAAAAGAAATAGCTCGAAAATTAGAATTTGAAGGTGCTTGGTTAATTGATCAACCAAGTGAAAATAATTCTTGGATATTATCATATTTATCACGTGAATGGCATAAACTTGTTATAAGTTCAAAATCATTTCCTGATTATTATTGGGATAAATTTGTTAAGAAAAAAGTTCGAAATAAATATTCTGATCAATTTGATTATGATGAATTAAGTCGATTTTTGGGTATGGAAAAAAATGATACACCTGGAAAATTTGAAATTGTTAAACCAATAGAAACTGGTTTATGGGCAAAGTATATAAAACAAAAACAAAAAGAAAGATTAATTAAAATTTTGTATTTGATTAATTTAGGATTAAATCTATTGATATGCGTTATGAAATTTGGAAATGGGGTGTAATCTTTACCGATAATGTAAGTTATGAATTAAAAGGATCAAAAACTTTCAAAAAAAAAAGGTTAATTTATGTTTTCTGGAGTAAAAAATAAAGGTATTTATAATTTCTAGACATTACTTAAAAAAAGTACTTTTTGCGTAAATAAAAATTTTAAGGATGATAAAATTGATTTGATATCATCGTCATATGATCAAGCTACGAGCAAATAATAAGTAGAGCATTGATATTAGAAAAAAACAAAAATTATGTTTGCAATGCAGAAGTAAATATTCGTAGAATTTGACTGAAGAACAAGCATAAATTTCATATTTTAACTCCAAAGCGGTTTCTCTCACAATCAATTGATAGGCTAATATATTCCAATGATAGGCCATTAAGTTATGCAAACTTATGAAGTAACGATTTTCGAGATCATTCATTGTTTTTTGTATAAACATCGAATGTATAGTTATTCACCTGTTCATTCTAGTTGTCATACAGCTAATATGAATCTCTTGTTTAGAAACATAAAATATTAGTGCAAAACTTTTCAGAAAAATACTAGGATTTTGAATATTTCATACTCATCAAATCTCTTGAATAGTTACAAATAATAATATCTTTAAAAGAAAAGTGCTTATAATATTCTTATTTTTTGTTTTTTGTTTAGTCATTTCTTTACGTTTTCTTCTACTTTTTATTTTCAATTATTGGTAATTTCACATTTTTTGTTTTTGCAATTCATTTACTTGATGTTGCAATAAGTGTAAAAGCTTTAAGTACAATATTAAAATCTATAACACATAATGGTCGACAAGTAATTATCTATTTAAATTTATTTATTTTTTTTGCTTTTTTTTTTAATCAATCAATATTCTCCTATATTTTAGTTACTTTTAACAATAATGTTAATGACTGTTGTTGTTTATCTTTATACAGTGATTGCATTTAATTTTTTTCGTAAATTTTATACGAAAGAAGAAGATGAAGAACGAGAAGAAAATTGTAAAGATATGCTTACCGTAAGTCAATAAATATTACTATGAAGTTCTTCTATTCTTTATGATATTGAGTTGATATTTTCTACACATGCGTACAAAAAGCAATCCTGATCAACTTTCCTCTCCCATTGGTTCACATATCATTTTCCTATTATCATCATCTTATCTTAACCATACTGACAACATATTTCTGCTGATTATGTTTTATACTAGGAAAACAAGACGTAGGAATCATATAACTTCAGTACATGTGAACCGATGAAGAGTAGTTTAGTGCTTTCGATCAGGTTTTTATTTCGGACTTTATTTTGAATATTTATATTTAATTTTAGTGTTTTAAATTTCACCTTTATTCGGGTATTCGAGCTGGTGGTGGTATTGGTGATGAACTTGAATCACCTAATGGTGATCCATTAGAATTATATCGAATTGTTTTTGATATAACGTTCTTCTTCTTTATTATTGTCATTCTTCTTGCTATTCTTCAAGGTAAAACTGAATTACAAAAAAAAAAAAAAAATTTTCGTATTTCATATATTTAATGAAATCTTTTAGGTTTGATTATTGATGCTTTTGGTGATCTTCGTGAACAACTTGATTCAGTGAAAGAAACACTTGAAGTAATTCATAGATATTTTCTTTTTTTTCATGTTTTTCTTGTAATTAATATTTATATTTTAGACAAAATGTTTCATTTGTGGAATTGGTCAAGATTATTTTGATAAAGAACCGCATGGATTTGAAGTAAGAACAATTAATCTATGTATAAAAGAAAAATCAAGTTCGAATTTTTTTTTAATTTTTAGACTCATACACAAGCAGAACATAATTTTGCCAATTATATGTTCTTTTTAACACATCTTCTTAATAAACCTGATACAGAACATACAGGACAGGTACTGTTGTTATAAGATAAAATTTTAAATTAAATTTATTATTTTATTTTAATAGGAAAGTTATGTTTGGGAAATGTATCAAAGTCGAAAATGGGATTTTTTTCCTATTGGTGATTGTTTTCGACGTCAATATGAATCGGGTAGTGGTGGAACAACAACAACAGAAAGTTAAACAAGATTTATATAATCTTGTTTATTTCATCGGTGATTTATTTGAAAAGGATTTTTCAATTTATTTAGGCACCTATATTTTTTTTTCTTTTGTTGCATTAATGCAAAACGTTCTTTTTATGATTTGTATGGAGTTCTCTTCTTTCTTTTTTTTTAAATAAATATTTCAATCGCTTTGAGTGTGATGAAAAGAATAAGTTTTAATATTTTGATGAAAGAAAGTTTCGATGGCGTACTTGATAAATTCGAATAGTTAACCTTTCTTTCAAGTCTAGCTTGCTTCAAAAATTGATTTCCGATATAGTACATTGGATATCTATGAAACTTTATGAAAAGACTCGATCAATGAAAATACGCCAAAAAACAAATTTTGCCATTTCAAACCTTATCATTTACGATACTTGTAGAAGATAAAATGTGACATAGAGCTTTCAAGCGTGCAAATGTTTTAATAGTGACCGTCAAATACAAAATGTCTTTTCCTCATCAGAAAGAGAATGCATCTATCGATCAAATCATATTGAAAAAAGTTTTTTTTGAAATTTGAGAATTTATGCAAAAAACAATTTAGAGATAATGTGCGAACACTTTTTGTATCTTTGCCTGAAATTTCTAGCGACCATTTGGATATGATGGGAACGATAAATGAGAATCTGAATAAATATTCGGAATGGGCAAATAATTCTGCCGCTAACTAACAACTTAAGACGTATTTGAATTTTAAATAACTACTTTGCTTCTCAAACGACTTATAAAAATTTCTTTTAGCCCTTAATTAGTCATCAGATATAATTAGGACGGTTACACTATAGTAATATTACGGTTAGACTTAAAGGTATTCACCTAAAACTCGAATAAATTAAGAATGGCATCTTTTAGCGATTTACTACTCGCAACGGTATAGAAGAGAAACAATGGGACAACATCGCTATAAAATTCGATGAGCTGTGCGTATTAGAGAAAACAATGATGTCACAATATCAAATTATATGAAATGAAAAAATTTCATTCATTAATGATAACAACAGTGGTCTTTTATGTTGTTGAAAAATGTTTTGTTTTAATTCATAAATATTCAAATGAAGGAAGATGAACAACACAAGTAATGGTTCCTGATGACTTCAAAACCAGTAAAGAAGCTTATATTTTGAAAATTTTTATTGTAATTTCTATATGACATTTTCCACAGATGGCTACCCCTCAATAGTGAACACTTTCAAAAACTCTCGACGATATACATTTCAAAGAGATTTTCCTTTATTCAAATGGTTAAAAATCAGTAAAATAAACTTGAACAATCGCTCAATGAATTATTTATATATGTATATATAACAAAAATCTGCTTCTTTTGATTATTAATTCAAGTTTCTATTCTAGAAATGATCGTTTCTATGATTCTAATTAGTAACCAAACTCCATTTCATTTCATATAAATCAGTCTTCGTTTATTTTCACTATCTGCTATTGAAAAGTTGAGCTCATCAAGATATGTAAGTCTCAGTACATTTTTCGTTTACTTCAGCATGAAATAAAATGCAAAACGTTTTTAGAAAAGTTGTGTTGTATTAAATATCAGCAATCGATTTTTCGACTCGGCATGCACTAAATATTTTCTTGCTAGTCGTTATCTAATTTTGCACAATCGAGCTACCCACATTATACAGAAATAAATATCGATCTGTTTACTTCATTTGACATGAATTTCATTGAACCAAGTATGAGTGTTTCCGCTTCTTTGTCATCACTCGTCACCTTGTCTTTCCGTAAATGTTTTATTGTTACTATATATATAGTTCTTCTCATGAAATGCTTATTTTATAAGAAAAAAAAGCAAAAAAAAAGAAGGAGACAAACACAGATAGAAACGGAACACAAAACATTACCATCCTGCAAAATTAAGAAATGAATCATTCGAAAAAAAACGAGCGATGTCGTAACTCAAGAAGAGTTTCAATCATCAGTAACACATATTTGAAATTATTAAAAACATTTTGACGTCAATTACTTGACCGGAGTAACTTAATAGGAAGATTTGAGAAGCAAAAGAAACTTTTTTGAGTGTTGTGTGCTTAGTGCTATGACACTCTGAATATTCTGTCACTCTGTTCAGTTGTTAAAGAAATAAGAAATTAGAATCAATATAATGCGACTGCCTAGAACAAATACACACACATTATGGTAAACATTAAATGTGGGTAAGAATAACAATAGATAAGCTTTTGACTACAAGCCAATCTGTATACATGAAGGTCAAAATCTGTCAGTCAGAGCTAGACGTCACAATAGAGATTACAAGCTTCAAACCACGAGAAACCCATAACACTCAAGTCAGAAAGCATTACTTCACTCAATGATGTAACAAAATTAGAGGAACAACTTTCAACATTCCTAGTAATGTGAAATGTAAAGGGCCTATCATTTCGAGCTATAGGGCAATCTATCAAATTCATACGATTTCTTATAAATGTTCGAGGTTGAAAGGTAATGATATTTATTTGAGTGTTCGTGATAGCTACCATTTTTATGACTATATTTTCCAGGAGACATTGAAGATCTTCCACTCATTTGGACAAAAGACATGACCCTCAAGTTGTTTAATTGAGATTTGTTAGTCACGTGCTTAGGCACGTGATAAGAAAAAGGAAAATATAGTTAAAGATTAGACTCTATGTATATACAGGCAACAGGCGAGGAATGAAAATACTTCCTATCTGTCTGTGTTTGTGCTGAATGAATTTTTGAAGTTAGTCTAAGGGATCATTGTATAAGTAGCTCAATAATCAATAACAACAATATTCATGTTTTAAGTGGTGACACAAGTCGATTCAAGACTTGTAATGCAAAAGCAATCACTTTTTACTTTTATAGCGATTTTTTTCGTATAAGATTACTTTTTTTGGAGAAAAATTAAATATTTAGGTAAGCTTTGAAGCTATATCAAATTTCTGTTTATTGAAAGATTGTGTCGTACGCTTCTTCACTTTAGCTAAATGCATAAAGCATTGCCTATTCATCAAATATAAATATGAATGTCATTGCTATTCGGTTCCATTTTAATGCAAGCGATGGTTTCAATTGTAATTTATTGTCTCGTATTCATTCTATTCAGGTAATTCTAAAATCTACTTTTTTATATTTATCTAATGCTGAACGATGTTTCTTTTTAGCCTTACTGGTTTGATTTTGTTTTTCATTTTACATGTTCTGCTATTAATTTAGTATGTTGCTAGTTCGAGTGAAATCTCAATTTTGCTACGGGATGTCTCAATATGCTCGATGTTCGCCAAACAGTGCATGCACCTGTTTCCATATAGCAGGTACTATTGACATTGGCATATGTGGCGATGAATTCGTCGATTGTTCTGAGTTGGTTACATGTGAACACTCAAATAACCTTTGTCATGAACCTAACCATAGATGTGTTCATCACCCACGGTGTCATAATCTTCCTGTTTGTTATCCAGTGCCGAGTTTCAATGAACAACTCTGTCCACTGATAGCAAGTAAGAAAACAAACTGTGATCTACGGTTTCAAGTGAAATCCAAATCCTTCTTAAGATTATTTCTTCATCTTTCAAACACTCTTACTTATGCAGTTCATGTTGATGCAGAAACAGTGAGGAAGAGTCGACGAGCATTTGATAAAAGTAGATGAAGCTTGACAGAGATAAAACGAATTGTAATTTATTGGAAAACAGATTTCATATCTTCTCATGTACTATATCCATTGAATTGGAATATAGAGTCTGTTGCTGTTATATCTAGCAATGCATGAAAATGCAGTGAACTTTTGAATGTACATCAGAAATCGAAACAAATCGAAGAATTGAGTATTTGATTCGATTCAACTTCCTAGAATGTCTCATATCTTACGATATTCATAGGATCCCAACAAGTCTATTGATGAAGGCGGATCATTTAGCTGTAACGCAATAACCACTACAGTTCAACATGGCTTTAGCCATCGGATGGAATGAATATATTAGTTATGATCTGTAATGCAACTGTGTATATAAATTATATTTCACAGCTAGTAACGCTACTGGCTCAGACGCCTCAATGAAATACTAATAAATGCAGAATACATTTTGGAGACTGTACATATATGTATTAAATATTTGAGATCTCTTTCTTAACAGAAGAACGTAAACATTCAAACTGATTGACTACGAGAGGGGACTAGAGAGCTCGTAACAATTAATCTTCACACTATTATTCTGTTCTTTCGAGTATCCTTTTAAATTCATTTCACTCACACTGCTGTCATGACGACAGAATATTCTAATGATTTGAAATGAAGATACCGGTAGATGGGAAATTATGTGAGAGGTTGAAATCACAAACTTCATACTTCAAATATTGATTTTGTATTGCACCAGTGGCCAGTGGATTTCGATCTTTGCTCGTATTTAAAATACAACAGAAATGAGGAATTTTATCATGAATAGTGGCAAACATCACAACAACAATGCTAACAGTCACTACAAGTGCAAGTACAACTATTATTCCAACCACAGCTACAACTACAAACGCTACCCAACAGCTAGGTAAGCATTGGATTGACGCTTCTTGACCGTGGTAGATATTAATTTTTCATCAAGTATATATAATTGCTTTGTATGTAATATGAATATGCAGCTAGCTAAGTGTTATATGGATAAAACTAACGATCCTATATCATGGATGATTTGATCTGTATTATAAGAAAAAAACTACTTAATATGAAACTCCATGCTGACTACTTTTCTTTAGTACTAAATTTCTCTTCGTTTTGCTGACATCTACAAAACCAAATTCATTCTTCCTCTTCGTTGATACTACTATATATGCTGCCTTTTAATCAAAGATACTTTATTTGAATTTAACAAAATATTTGACTTCAAATACTATCAAAATGCACTGTATTCTAAAGGCTACTACCCTCTGTTCTTTGTCTAGATTCAGTTAAGCTTAAAGTCAGAGGTCCCGATTCTGACGAAAACCTATTTGAACCATTTCATTCATAGTTTCGGCTACCAAGATTGCAGAGAGCGTCGTTTTTGTTTCCAACAAAGACTTTACATTTGAATACCAAAAGATGTAAGATTAATTATAAACCCATTATTTGATTATTTAGAAGAACCGACAGAATAGGTTCAGAGAAAATTTTAATTGTTATATGCGCTTCATGGATGTCACTTACTAGACACAAGTCAACTAAGGGTACTTAACATATACAGAAACATATTGACTCGTGCTCTACAGGATCTTTAATAATGACTCACTAAAATACATCAAATATTGAAATATGGTGACCGATCAATTCGTCGCACATGTATTGTAGAGAATACATTAATTGAATTAAGTGACTTAGTTTAGAATGTTATTTAATTACTCGCCTTAACAAAAAATTTTCTTTAGATTCTTAGGAATCATTTTTCACAATACAATGGTTTTTTCAAAAATAAAATAGAGATATCAATTTAAAGCGTATTTTAATATTTAATTAAAAAAATTGACGTTTGATTTCAAATAAAATTCTATGTAGACAAATTAAAAATAAAGTTCATTTTTTTCAATTAAAATTTAACTTTTTATTTTTCAGAAAAAGCTGAAAATTAAAACAAAACTATAAAATCGAAAAAAATTTTTACAAATCTAAATTAATAAAAATAAAGTTTTTTATTTAATGAAACCATAAATTTTAATTGAAAAAAATGAACTTTATTTTTAATTTGTCTATATAGAATTCTATTTAAAATTAAACTTCAATTTTTTTAATTAAATTTTAAAATACGTTTTATATTGATATCTCTATTTTATTTTTGAAAAAAATCATTGTATTCTGAAAAATGATTCCTAAGAATTTAAAGAAAAATTTTTGTTAAGGCGATTAATTAAATAATATTCTAAACTAAATCACTTAATGCAATTAATGTATTCTCTACAATACATGTGCGACGAATTGTACTGGTGTCCTAAAAGATATGTACTGTTGTCGTTGCACATTTATTTTCCAAACAGTGAAATCCTCATTTTCGGCATGTTTTCATTTGTTAAGAGTCTGAATGTACATTATTGAATGGCTTAAAACCACGGCTGTATTTCATCGTATAAACTACGAATAAAATTCTCCAATCGTTGTCTTCCTGTCGAGAGCTTTCATAGGGTTAGCATTCATCTTCTCAGTATATTAAAAATGTGACCTTCCGAAAAAATTATTTCCCAGAATCTAAATAGGAAAAAGATTTCACAATGGATATTTGTGAGGAAGAACCTTTCGTTTGTACAGAGTAATGAGTGAATGATATTCTTGAAAGTTTTATCAAGTTTTCTTCAAAGACAAAGAATGTCTTATGCTTAGGCAACGGAGATGATGATGCCTTTTTCTATTTCTCGTTCATTGTAGGGATTCCCAATATTCCAGTCAATGCCCAATGGGTACAGAATGGAGTAACCGTTGCTGGAGGCCGTGGATCAGGCGGTGCCACCAATCAACTCTACCTCCCTTACAGTCTCTTCGTTGATGATAATCAAACGATGGTCATCAGTGATCAGTTCAATCATCGTATTGTTCAATGGAAGACAGGTGATACGAATGGACAAGTGATAGCTGGTGGTCATGGCTTAGGAGATCAATTAGATCAATTCAATTATCCAACCGATTTATTGATCGACAATGAGACGAATAGTCTCATCATTTGTGATCGAGAAAATCGACGAGTCATACGATGGTCTCGTCATAGTGGTACAACTAAAGGAGAAATCCTGATCGACAACATCTGGTGTTTTGGATTAGCCATGGATAATCAGAGAAATCTCTACGTCTCTGACACCGACGAACACGAAGTCAGACGATATCAAATAGGAGGTAAGACAGGAACTATCGTAGCCGGTGGCCATAGCGAGGGTACTCGTCTCAATCAACTCAAGGTTCCAACCTACATCTTTGTCGATCAACAACAGGCTGTCTACGTGTCAGACAACATGAATCATCGTGTAATGAAATGGAATAAAGGTGCAAAAGAAGGAATTGTCCTCGCTGGAGGTCAAGGCCAAGGGAATTCTTTGACACAATTACGACATCCAAATGGATTGTTCGTTGACGCATTGGATACCGTCTATGTGGCAGACTCGTTGAATCATCGAGTGATACGTTGGCCTAATGGAGCGTCACAGGGCACTGCTATTGTGGGTGGAAATGGTCGAGGAGCAGGAGCAAATCAGTTGAGTAATCCTGAGGATTTGTTCTTCGATCATCAGGGTAATCTCTACGTTGTTGATAATGAAAATCATCGTGTTCAAAGATTTTCTATCCAATAGATTTTCTATCCAATAGATTCATTACGATGAATTAATTTTTTTGTCTTTCTTTCCCTTCAAATAAATCACGTTGGATTGATGAAAGAAATGACTATTCGATTCGAGCGCAACCAGAAACCACCATTGTGTAGCCATATCAAACGCGAAACTCACTTACGCACCAAACAGACTCAAATCCTCGACAAACAAATGTGCCAATGAGTCTGACGGAGGTCTGGTCGTGAGCTACGGACACCAACACAGTTCCTGGTCGAGTTTTTAAGGACTACCCAGAAGTCTTTTAGATAACTGGGATTCAACCATTATTGACATGATTCACTCCGCTGCTAGCACTCTATTGAGTCTCACTTTCCATTCTCGTCCTATTCTCATCTCGAAAAAAAGGGTTACAGACTCTCTTTTTGATATGGGACGATGACACGATGCGGTGATATTTATCGCTAGAACGAACGAAAGAAATTCAATGAATGATGTTGATACAAAAGAGATAGAAGAATTTATCCCACTGCTATCTTACTGGCAGATCCACATCCATTTTTCTTGTCAATTATTCTTCCCTTGATTATTTTTGAACTGTGGGCATTTGTCGCTAATAGCACTACCTTCCAAAAGTAAAGCTTGTTTAATCAGAAAATGTGGACAGGTGTGTCTATACTTGGTGAGGTCTCTTTCATAATTTATACATGTCTTGACACAGAGGAATATATTTAAGTAGGTACCCACACCCGATACTCATACCCTTTCATGTTTGTTGCGTATATGATACTGCTGGGTTTTTACTGTTGAATGATTCCTGTGCTAGTTTTGAAAAGTGACAAGTTTTTCTTTTTCTTATTTTCCATCTATCTTTTCTATTTTTCTTCGTTTCATTATCTTTCACGACGGCCTATGTTAATAATAGCGCACCTACGAGAAGTAAAACGCGTAGGATGAAATGGTGTGGATATAACACTCGGTGTGTGTGAGTATAAGTGTGAATGTGGGCCTAGGTGCAGATATAGCTTAACTCTCATCCCCACTCGCAACCCGTATATAATAAATGATAGCAAAGAAAATCAGAAGCTTTCATCTAACAGCTCTTTGACTTTGGAGATGCTGGCGTCAATATAGACCACTCTATTACTTATAGCAATTCTTGTTATTTGTTACTGGTTGCTTTTTTTTCTCCTCTCAATTGTTCTTACATTTTTCTTTGAGATGTGGGTGTGGGTATGGTGCTTCTTTCCACCGATGCCCACATCCATAGCCACGCCCACACCCACACACTCAGACCCACACCCCACACCTGCACCCATACACCCACACCCCAGCCACACCCCACATCCGCACCCACACCCACATCCCCATCCACCCACACCCTCATGCCAGTAATAATCATACATATGAAGTAGGCATCGAAAAACGAAGAAATAAATCAATAGAGATTGTTTTCGACATGTGGTGCAAGAATTAAATCTTTAGTTACATTACATAAATAAGTTTCTAAGATGAGCACGCAAAAAAGCAGAATATTTTTTTTCTTCAATTTTTCATCTCGCAAATGTTGGTCAGATTGTAAGCCACATTCACGCTTATTAAATCTCCTGATTTCAGAAGTTGATGTTTAAAATTTGCTTTTCATTTTGAGATTTTTGATTGCTTTGATTTTCAAGAACACTGTAATCGGTAAGAAAAGCAGTGTTAATTCATCCCAGTCTTAATGTACATAGATTGTTTTTTTTGTAAATTACATTTCGTCACATGTAATGCGTATAGAATAATAATCGAAATCCAATGCCACAAAATTTAACTGTGATAAAATTGAAAAGTTCAAATCATTGATTATAATTGTAGCCAGGGAAACTGCTTATTTAGTAAATGTATCTTGTTTCGTTGGATGGTAGTTTCCTATAGACACACGATACTAATTTTAATGTTTAGCTTCTTGTATATAAGCACAAGCTATTAATTAGCTTTTTTGAAGTGAGAGTATCGCTGCATCAATTTAAATGAAGTATGAAAAGGGATGATCAATATTGATTTGATTTAGCTGTTAGAAATCATTGAATTATGTGGTGTCACGAAACTAATCTTGTTGACTTCGTTCGATTGACATTCTGTGCTAATTTAAAAAAAAACGTAGATAGAATATATTTTAAAAAACGTTACTTTGTATTACAGTACACAAATGCAAAAAAAATACAGAATAAGAGAATAGTTTTTAAAGAAATGAATGGAAAATATTAATAATATGCGGAAATAAACATGGAGAACTGATGGATGTCATAATATCTATGATTCGGGTATCGAGATTCATAACATAACTATAAGGATATTCACTTATCGTATTCAAGGCATCCATATGCCTAAAAAATTGAGGGTTTTCAATGAATTTGGTGTAATGAGATGGATATCTAACTCGATATCCATTTATCTATAAAGTTGTTGATATTCTTGAAGCGGTGTGGGATACATCTTGTCTTCATGTCCTATCCACTCCTCAACCCTCACACAAAGCTGAACCATAAAGCCAGGCCCACAGCTACACCCACATTCACTCCGCGTCCCTACGCGCATACACACCTTCTCCAATACAAATAACTTCATTGTGGCTACCACCTGCATACGCAAACCAAGTTTTGACAACCAAACCCTCACGTAGACAGTGACCCACACTCGCATTTGAAAGCCAAAGCCGCACACCTTCAGCCACATTCATATCAGCATCATCACTCGCATGAACACACTCACCTACACCCGCACTGTCACCCACACCCTTAACTAGGAAAAAAATATCGCACCTATCAAAATTGACTTCCTGGGACCCTAAAACCGCAAATATAGGAGAAAAGACAGCGTATTTTCTTTTTCACCCATCACTCTCACGTTAACATCATCCATCATCAATCTGCTCGCGAATTCATCACAACATCGGATCAATTCTCATACAGCAAAAGTTTAAACCGGTAATAGTATAATAGAATCTACTAGGTCTTCGATTTTAAAAAGTCTAATTTATACGCACTGATAGAGTCGATACCTAACTGATGGTGACGGCCAACCAGGAACCAAAATATTTCTTATGAAGCTTTGAAACTTTCTGCCATAAAAACTTACTCATATACTCATGTTCACTGTCATGTATTTTATTATACTCAATTTTATTTTGTTCGCTGATAAGGTCAGTCAAGAAAGATTTGGCAACTATCTTTTTCTTCATTCTTTTTTATTATGGCAATATAGTTTGGGTTGTGCTTCTTATCGCTTTTCTTCTATTCTGTTTAGAAGAAAAACTATTGAAAATAGTGAGAACAAGGTTATTTGATAGAATTTGGCGAGCTGTTTCTACTTCTGTAGGCTTTTGTGTTATCGTGTACTTGTGTCTGTGTTTTCTTTTTTATCTTCCGAGCTTTTATGATAATGTTACTATGGTAGAATCAACATAAACATAAAGGTGAAGGTGAATGTAAGCTATCGTCATTTTTTCAATTGAATACACACTGATGGCTAGTGCGACAAACCAAAGTAAGCGTTTTTTTCATTCTACTTGGCATATTTCTGTAGAGAATTCTTAGTGTAAGAT